TGCTGTATTCCCGACGCTCATGATACTAGTTACCCATCATAAATCTTGACTTAGGGAGGCACTTCCTGTCTCCAAGCACACACCCCTGTACCCTAGGTTAGCTATAAAACCATCCCAGCGGCTCCTTGGCATTGCAGAGAGCAGCTGCAAATGCTTCTGGATCACCATCCACCCAGTCCTACCCTGTATGTAAATTCTACTCTGTAATAAACTGATCCATTGATTATGTGGAGCTGCCTGCCTTGTTTTTCAGTCTCAAGATACCTTCTCAGTTTGGCAGGCATTTTTCATTCTCTCTGCCCTCCAACAACTATCTTGACTCTTACCCAGTTGTACACTTCAAATATGTAGTTTATTGCATGGTAATTATACCTCAATAAAGCTTATTAATACAAAAAATTTTAAAGAGATGGGTTAAAATAAACCCGTTCATGGTTCTTTGTCTATACTTGGTCATTTCCTTAGACTAGACTACTAAAAATCAAAGTGCATGGCAAAAGAGAAAAACTTCATTGACACCTCCTGACATGACCACTGAATTACTTTCCAATAAGTAACATATAAGCATGTCCAGCTCACTGCATTGTTATCAATAGTGAGCCCTGTGTATTTTTAAAACCTCTGCTGGTTTGATAGGTTTTAAAAATTATCTCATTTTAATTTTCATTTATTTGATTACTACTGGAGTTGAAATTTTTCGTATTTCAGATTCTTAGCAGGTCCAGTGATCTCCACAAAAAAGAATTGATCTGCATCATTGTTTTTTATGGATGAATGGACTATTATTTAATGGGACACCTACTGATGAACATTTGGGCTTCTAATTATTCAATATTATAAATAACAACATGACTAATATTCTTGTACATAAATCTTCCTGACTGGTCTGGTTATTTCCTTAGGATAAATTTCTAGAAAAGGAGCTTGGAAAAATTCATGTGCACATTAAGTTATTGCCAAATTGCTCTACCAAAACAATGTACCAAATGTGTAAAGGAACAATGATTTAACCACTGTGTATGTGTGACAGTACAGACCCAAATTTTTAGTAATCTGAATAATTTTTTCCTTTGTAATTTCTTTCATTGTTTTTATGCTTAGAAAGTCATTCACCCATCCAGTGATCAGGTATGTGTTCATTTATATTTTCTTCTAATACTTTATGTTTCAAAAAGTTTTGATTCATCTGGAATTTAATAAACAGTGAATTAAAATTTCAGTTAAGTTCTCTACCCAATTATTTAGCCATTACCCAAACTTTATTTGTTGAATAAATTAAATCTGATTTGTGATGACTTCTTGGTCACATATTTGTTTTTTATTTATATTAAAAGGCTATCTATTAATTCCACACATCTGTCCACCAGTTCTTGAACCAGCATGACTGAGTTTTACAATAGGGACAAGTCTGGAGGGACAAGTCTATCAACATTGCTTCTCTTTCTCAAAGGTGTCTTAGATATTATATTGCTCATGCTTATTTTTTTTGAGACTCCTTTAGAATAACAGTGTAAATTTCCTTTAGAAAAATCTGATGGGAATTTTTATTAGACTTGAATTGAACCTACAAAATAACTTGAGACGGATAGACATTTTTACACTTTTTAGCCTTTACAGAGAAGAATATGGCATAAGTCTTTCCAATTCTTCATTAGTTTCTACCCTCTTCTTGGTGAGATTATTATTAATTACTTTTTATTTTCTTGTTGCTGTGAACTTAGCTTTTTCCCATTACATTAACTAATTAGTTACAGCCGATACATTAAAAAAAGCAATTTATTTTAGTTTATTTGGAATTCAAGTACCCTACTAAACTTTTATGCATTCTAACAGTTTTCTAATTAATTTGGTTTCTTGAAATTGGAAACAGTTCTGATTTTTCCTTTCCAGGGAATGAACTATTAATTCTATTGGCTGGCTTCCTGTATCACATTATATACAAAATTCAAGTCCACCTCTAAGATTTTCAGAAAAAAACAAAACAAACAAACAAAACAACAACAACAAAAAAAACAAAAACACCCCTGTCCTCCCCTAGCCCAAAAACAAACAAACAAACAAAAAACCAGAAGAAAATCTTCATGACCTCAAGTACGGAAAGATTTCTTAAACCAGTCATAGAAGTTAAAAACCATAAAGAAAAAAACTACAAGCATATGTGAAATATATTATAATTAAAAATTAAAATAAAAATGTAAAACTGTCCAATAGAAACAAAGTGAAAACACAGATCATAATTGGCAAAGGACTGACATCTAGAATTTATGAAGACTATTTCCAAATCAGTAAGAAAGAGACAAATAATCAACAGGCAAAGGACACAAATCAGAATGCTTACAGAAAAGAGCCTGAAATGATACTAAACATATAAAAAGATATGCCTTTTACTGGTGGTCAGGGAAAGGCAAATTAAAGTAAGAATGAAATGAGACTTCATTTCAAAAGTAAAAAGTCTGATTAATACAAAGTGTTGATGAGTACACAGAACAGCAGGAATTCTCAAATGCTCCTGGTGGGATTACAAATTTGAATAACCACCTTGGAGAGCAATTTGACAATACCTAGTAGAGTGGAGGATAAGCCTATCCAAGGGTCGTGCAAGATCATTCCTGGACATGCCTATGTACACACACAAGGCATACTTATGTGTGTACACATATGTACAAAAATGTATTTCCATACTTACTTACAACCACAACATGGAAGCAACCTAAATGTCCATCAACAGATGACTGGATAAAGAAGTTGTCATGTATATATACAATGGAATACTACTCAGCCATAAGAAATAATAAAATAATGCATTGGCAGCATCATAGATGGACATGGAGATCGTCATTCTAAGTGAAGTAAGCCAGAAAGAGAAAGAAAAATACCATATATCACTTATGTGTAGAATCTAAAAAAAAAACAAAAACCCACAAATGAACTTATTTAAAAAACAGAGACAGACTCACAGACATAGAAGACAAACTTATGGTTACAGAGGTAGGAGGGAGTGGGGAGGATTAAACTGGGAGCTCACAATTTGTAGCTAACCACTACATATAAAACAGATAAACAGCAACGTCCTACTGCATAGCACAATAACTTGTAATGGCCTATAATGAAAAAGAATATGAAAAGGAATATACATATGGATAAATGAATCAGTATGCTGTACATGAGAAATTAACACAACATTGTAAATCGACCATACTTCAATAAAAATTAGCATAATAGCAAAAACTGTAAATAAAATTCAACATCCATCAGCAGGAGAATGGTATAGTTATTCAATGAGATACTATTCAGTAATTACAGTGAGTGAACTAAACCTGTAATGCTATGTAGAGAAATCTCTAAAACAAGGTTGAACAAAAAAGTAAACTGCAAGATACACTATGATGCTGTTCATGTAAATATATTGCTATATATTGGTGGCTATATATTGCTCAGGGATACCTACTTTTAGAGTGAAGTATTACAATATTGGAGGGGAAGGATTCAGCATAGCGATTTCCCCCAGGGAGGAAGGGACAGGAATAAATTAGAGGGTTATCTTATTACTTAAAAAATAAACTTTGAAATAAATACGGCAAAATTTTCATTTATTAAATCTGGATGGGGGACTCAGAGATGTTTGTTGTATATTTCCCTGTACTCTTCTGTGTATTTGAAATAGTATGTAAATGTAAGAGACGAAGAAAGACCAAAGGAAATTTATGGCCTGAAATTTAACCAAAAAGGAAAAGGGAGGGGAAAATATGATGTGTTTAGTTTTAATAAAGATCCTTGGAAATCATTCTAGACATTTTCTACTCAATTTAATGAGAGCCATAAAACCCTGTGCTGAAGTTTGCGCTCAGCCACATGCAATGAGTAAAGCCACCCTGACAGCAATAGGAGGAGCAAAAGGAGGGGGAAAGGACGCATCTCTACACAAGAGAACAACTTTTGCTGCCTCCTGTCTTGTCAATCTTGTAATTATTTACACAGAATAATGGAAGACCCAGTGGGAGATGTTCCCACAGTGAGACTCCTGGGATATCGGTGTAAAGCTTGAGGGAAGCTGAATGACACTGCTGGGAAAATATTTTGATCCCACCCTGGTTCTGTAAGCAAGAAAAACTCTTCAGAAAGTCTTCAGCAATGTTTCTGGAAACCATCATCTCACTTCTTTGCTCAGATCGGACCTTGGCCTGCTCGGAACAGTTCAGCACCCAACACACAAACTGAAAAGCGTCCTGTGTTGAATTTCCAAGGGAGCTTACCTTCCTCTCAAGCTGTTTCGTAATTGCATCCAGAACCACCTTATGGTGTGCAAACACTAGAAACTTCTCTCTTCCACTTTCCAGTAGGTCCAGGATGTATTCACTGTATTGGACAATGACAAGACAATAAACTAAACATACACTCACCTGCTGAGGCTATTCCTGCATCTGCAGAAGACACCTTTGGGGTACCTGCCCTCCGGGGGCCTCTCTCCCCCTTCTCTGAGAGCTGACCTGTCCCCCTTTCCCTCAGGAGCTGTGGGGACATCATCATCTGAGTTCCTCCACACTCTTTAGTCATCTCCCAAACACAAATCAATTGAAGTTTTCTTATGTTTTATGTGTCTCCGATAGGTTGCTGAAACATTTGTATTGCCTGGGGTCACGGAAGATAATTAACAGTTTGCACTCTGGCTGCTACTATCATTGTCTCGTGTTTTCAATAAAAACTGAAGTGTCGTCTGTAGATCTGAAAATGCCTGGGCAAGGATTAAGAGATTCTTGACAGTAATCAAATTCTTGGAAGTATAACACTGAAACATAAGTAATAATACTGAAAAGACAGTCAAGGATAGCTTTTTAGCTCCTTCCCACATCAGACCGCAAACTACAGGCCAGCAATTAATTTAGTGGTAGATTTTCTGAGGCCAAGAACTATGGGGTGAAAGGCCTTATTTGCTTGGTCTTTATTCTCCCTTAATTTACTTCTCTTCCATCTACTGTGTTTTTTCTGCTCCTTATCTTTAGCTGTGGCCTGAAAAGAAAGTAGCTCCCCCCAGGAGTTGCAGGAAGGAGAGTCACCCAGTCAGCAGCCCCTTGCCCTGGGACTGGTGCCCTGCGGAGAGTTCCCAATTCCAGCACAGGTCACTGCTCTGGCAGGGGCAGCGGGAAGGTGTGCCTCCCCGGACAGGACACAAGGAGCACTCGCTCTGCCTGAGGCCGTCCCCACACCCGGGTGCATCCGGGCAGAGAACAGACATCGCTCTCCTTGGGAAAGGATGAATCTCCAGGGTCTCCTATTATAATATTATAGGCAGGTGGTGGAAAGGTAAGTGGACTGTCTTCTAAACAGCTAAGAATTATTTTCAAACAACACTATGGCCAACCAGGGCATGGATTTGAGTTCAATCTGTGAATTGTTGGTACTAATAGAATCTAAACTTTAATTAGTTTGAGAGACATAAAATTTGCCATGACACAAGCAAAAAAGTTTATTGCTATAGCATCAGCAAGTCACAAGGCCATAAAAGAAGTGTGGCCAGCCCATAAACACCACAGCTCCCAATCTTCCTAATGTTTCTCTCCCCGCTACATCTCAGACATGACGTTGTCACTCTGCCCTTCCTCACATCCCTAAGCTAAGGCTGCAAACACTTGCCAACCACAATAACCTTGGCTTTTATAGTGGAAGATGTCCATTAAAATGAAAACAACAGCAAAAAGGGGAAGAAAAGCAACTATTAGAGGAAATTGGGGTCGTAAGATTTATAACCTAATTTCTACTTACTAACTGTGTGATTCTGAAGTTCAGAGATTTATATGAGATTTGCTCAATTTCTGCATTTTAAAAATGGGGCCAAACAAGGAAATAGTCTTACTTCTCTTAAAAAAAATTGGGGCCAAAAGAACTTTTATTGATCTCACAAAGAGGCTGTAAATGTGAAATGAGTTAACAGATGTCAAAATTGCTGGAAACTATAAAGCACTGTATAATTTATCATGGATTTCTGAAAAAGCATGATAAGGTATGTTATGGACTGAAAGTCTGTGTCCCTCCCCTTCTCCCCGTGCCCCCAGTTCATATGTTGAAATCTTAACCCCCAAGGTGATGGCAGTGGGAGGCTGGGGATGGTACTGGGAGGAGATGGAGTTAGTGCTCTTATAAAGGAGACCTTAGGGAGCACCCCTGTCCCGTCCACCATGTGAGGACACAGTGAGAAGATGGTTGTCTAGGATCCAGGAAGAGAACTCTCACCAGACCCTGAATCTGCCAGTGCCTTGAACTTGGCCTTCCCAGCCTCTAGGATGGCGAGAAATAGCTATTTGTGGTTTAAGGCAGATGGCCTATGATATTTTTGTTAAAGCAGCACAAACGGACTCAAGACAAGGTGCTACTGAAGTTTATCTATAAGGTGGAAAAATGGCTAGATTTAAAATTTCTAAAGGCAATGGGTGGTTCTGGGCCCAGCACTCAAGGAGCCTGGATTTCTTTGGTCACAAGCCGAGAAAGCGAGGGAGAGGCTCACACCCTTGCCATCTGTTACTCAGCAGCACGTGAGAAATGGGTCGGTGGGGGCAATTCAGAGTAGTTTCTGAGAGAGAAGTTTCCAGGCCATAAAAACCACATCTGGAGTTCATCAGCCTCCTAAGGGCATCATAAATGAAAAGGGCAGCAGCCAGCGGGTGAGGGCGCAGTCTTCGTGGGGAGTCTTGGATTTGAACAATGCAGTGAGCTCACTCTCAGACCACATTTAAGGGTGCGGAGGGAGAGGCTGGTGAGGCTGGAAGATGTGGAGGCTGAGTGAGAGGGCGGGGCAGGCTGTGTGTCCCAATTTATCCACGGATCTCGGTCCCCACAGCCAATCTGGCACCGCTCAACCCACACGGAGCTCATTGTCATTGTAATCTAACCACTGGGACCATTATTCTGCCAGAGTCTCACATGAACGTTAAACAAAAAATGAGGCAAGCTGCATGTCGTTAGCATCGCTTCGAGTTTCTACCACAGTGATGTGTGAACGGCTGTGGGTTTTTCTTTCTTTAGCAAAGGCAGACAATTGAGATTTTTTTTCAGGTCAGTGAAGAATTTTAAGAACAGAAATGATTACCTCAGCTTTAGTTCATAAGGCAGAAGAAGAACCAAGTGTGACAACGGCCACTTGCCCGTATCTTTTGAACACCTTTGACATTCGCCCTTTCTCATTTAGGTAAATGATGGCTGAAACACGACGTCTACGGAGAAGACCAGAGGATCCTGGTCTTCCATGAAATCCCTAATTTTTTCCTACAGGCAAGTGACCACAGTTCTCCTGGTGAGAGGGAAACTTCCCTTCAGTGTTTGGGTCCACCTTCCACATCAGGGGCTGCGGCTTCAGCTCACTGGGGTTAAGACAGGATCTCACAGGGACCCCAAGCACATCCTGATCGTGCTCCAGTGACAGGCCTACATCTGCCTCTCGGGTGCTAAGTCTGTGGTGCCCTAAACCTGATACTCAAGGCAGCTATGATTCAAATCTGTCAACTCTAATCACTTCTTACAGAGCAATAAAACCATCCTGGCTGACTAAGGTAACAGGTGTTTCTTTTTTAGAAAGAGCGCGAGAGAAGTCACGCTTGGTGACCACTTACATGACAGATGGGATTTTAGCTTCAGCTGTTCTGTTGAAGAAGAGAATGAGGGCTTCTTTCTGCTGCTGTTTCTGTGGAAGGAGAAATTGAGAATTTGGTCTCCTGCTCTGAGAACTCTGAGGTAGGCTGATGTCATTATCACCGAGCTTCACACATCCTAACATCAATCGTCAGAGCCAAGAGACCCTGACTTATCCACTTGCTTTAGCCAAGCCACAGGAACTGTCTGGGCTTTGGTTTTGTCCTGGGAGACATGGCATTATAGCTACTCTGTCATCCTTCGAGAACAGCTGTGAGAATCCAAAATGCGGCAAGGAACATGAAAGTTCTTTGGAAAGGCATTTCAGGTAGGGCCTCAGCATCCATACCAAGCTCAGGTGCTCGGCTGAAATGCAGCCTTGCTAAGCACACCTATTTACTACAGGCATTACAACCGAGTGACAACTTACACATGACATTGGCCCCAGGTGTGCCCCCCACCCTCCCTTTTCACCTGCCCAGTTGTATCCACACCCAACTGACTAAGCTCACCTCCAAGATTTACTGAATCAATTCCAACCAACCCCAACTAGTCTATTCTAGTATCATCTCAAAACTATTATTCACGCATTTCTGGCCTGTCTCTACATAAAGTAATTGACTTCAAGAGGAAACCGTATTTTCTTTGTAGTCTGTATCTAAATAAATCCCAATAAAGAATGCTAACACAGGAGATGCTTAGTTTCCTGACAATATGAGACAACACTTACTGTCACTCTTGAGTTCCCAGAGATGACAGACACTCTTACCATCAGTGGTAGGGCAGCCGTCTCCTTCCACTGGCCAGCCTGGGTTTACAGATACCCCCACTTTTGGGTTCTGGGCCCTGTGAGGCCAGTGACCAACCTGGCAACTTTGGTTCTTCACAGAACAAAGCAGTAATAACACCTATGGCCCTGAACTCATCAATAACTCAGGAAACAGCCACAGCCAGACTGTACCTTAAATTACAGACACCGCAGACGGTGAGAAAAGCTACCTGCTCAAAATAGTTTTTTGCCTTTAAACAGCATCTTCCCTCTAGGCCTTGACAAGAAGGAAGAAGAGACCCAGAAACCACAGGAATCCACAGGGACACTGACAGGCAGTGGATCCATTTTATGTTCTGTGTGTCATGGCAGTGGTGGCCACCGTCCATTCTATTTGGGGGCAGCAGTTCAACTGAACAACTCAAACTTCCTGGGAACTCATGTTGAAGAGGTGATTCTGTGTGTGTATGTGTGTCTTAACACGCTTCTCAGCCCCACGCCCAGTCAGGACTCAGACACATGCACAACTTTGTGAGTGTGGCCCATGAGCTCACACGAAGTCCATTCGTGGCCCTCAAAGGGTTCCCTGCAGCAGGTTAGGCCCTCCAACCGAACGCGTCCCCAGCAGGACACGTGGAAGGGCTAGACAGTGTCAGGCTTCCGTATGATGACCTCACCTACCGTGTGGACCCCTCAAGCAGACTGCACCCCACTCATCCTCAATCTACAATTTTACTCCCGAGTCCTTCAGAGACTCTTGGCAGGCCCTTCCCTCTGACCTACACCCACTCACTCCACACTTGCTAATAAGAAAGGGGGAGGGCAAAACAAACAGATGGAGAAATGGTGAAAAGCACTTTCAGAAACCTTGCCCCAAGATTTAACACGTAGAGCTGATGTGGGTGTGAGAAAACAAACATCCTTATCACACTCGGCTGGGGGGATGGTCCCCCGGGCTAACCCTTTTGGGGATGATTTGTCAGTACGGTTCCAAAAGCTTTCAAAATATGCCCATACCCTACGATGCAGCAACTTATTACCCCTTAAGATTTATCCTCATGATACAACTGGAGGTATACAAATTCATAACTGCTTTTTCAGTGCAATATTACTTAGAATAGTGAACAACTGAAATCACTTAAATGTCCAACTAAAAATGATTGGCAAAATTATAATACAGCCAGGTGAGAATCACCAGGCAGCCTTCAAATACTATACTTCAAAAGAATATATATCATGGAAAAGCGTACAGATACAGTTTTGCAACCTGCTTTCCTCCCCACTTGATGTCTCTTTATAAAATCCCAATTCTGCTTTTAAAATACATATGTTGCTCATTACATACATAAGCTACATATATATTTCTATATAAATATATATTTTAAAGCCAAATACACATATATTTTATAAAAAAAAATACCCTAGTATATATGTCAAAATTACGTAATACAAAAACGAGTGAATCTTTTTTATGGTATAGTAATAAAAAACATTTAATAAATGTTACTTATTATAAGTAATTTTCTTTTTTTTCAGAATTTATACAATAGACATCTATTATATTTTTAATGTGGGAGAAATCAATAGATTTATCTTAAGGAAAAAAAGCTCCCAAAACTGAGTAGACATAATACTAATCCATTTAATGATCTCACTTCTTTTGCCAGCCATGGGCTGGGAAATTTTAAATAACCTGCATTCTTTGTTCCTGCCTCCTAGACTTTTATTAAATTAGACCCACTGGGATTCTGAATTTATTTTTCTATGCTGGAATTTGAGTGGATTGTCAAACAGCAGAAAGGTGAGCTGATACTGTCACCAGGAAACCTGCACGGACTAGCTCCACTTTTCTGCTCCTGGTCTTGCTGATCAAAAAATGGCTTTAGACGGAAGATGATTAGAGTCTGTTTTTCTTAGCCTGTGAAGAGCTATATATTATTTCAGCTGAAAAATGAGAAAAAGCTTTCGCTGTGCATTATGTTTTATAAATTGGCTGCTTCACCTCGGCTTCTGTGATTTAAAGCTTTTCAAAAAAATGTCTTCCTCCAGATGGGAAGGTGTGAGGGAACAAAGAAAGACTCTCTTCTTAACAGGCCAGCAGAGCTTTGCTGGAACCACTATAATGTGCAAAATTGCACGGAAACTTGGGGCTACAGAGTCACTGTAAAAACGGTGGTGGTGCTGGGGTGCTTTCTGTAGATTCACCGACTAAAACCATAAAACCGTGATCCTCCATTTTAAGTCTTTCAGCTCCAGATTTCACAGCCATTCACGGTTCGGAAGGCATGTCAATGGTCATCTGGTCCAAGCCCCGGCCGGCACCGGCTCCCCTTCCTGAGTTAAGCTGTGGGGGTGCTCCCAGTTGGAGTCATGGTGTGCAGAGGCACCAAATCCAGGGCTTTATGGTAAGAAAGGTTCTGATGTTCTAAAGTGTCATGCTCATAAATTCATTTGCCACTTGGATTTTCTATTATAAAAATGAATTTACATTAAAGAACAAAAAAGAAAACCAAATTTTCAAGGATTTATCTTATTATCGAAAAGAATTTAGTATCTGGTTTGAGCGTCATGCTGAAGGTAATTTGTACCAGCTCAATTTCTCTCTTAGGGACAATCTCTAATGTCCCCAGATGCCAAGGAAGCACATAGCAACTCCTAAGCACTGGACTGGGAAGAGCTCTAGTTTCCTTCTCCACTGGATTCTTTAAGAATGACACCGCAATTTAAGGCTTGTTTTCACAGTCTGCAAAATAGCATTTAGATTCTGGGGTGAAGAAGCAGAGACCACAATCACACAACAGGTGGGACACAGAGCAACTGCCACTAGCCTTTCGTACTTTCTGGCACCAACCCTGTGAGGCAGGTCGTGGCTCCCCTTTTAGGTAAGATGAGGAATTTTCATAGCTATGGGAAGTTATAAACACCGAACATTCCTCATTTCCATAGCTCAGACTTGTCAATTTCATATCCTTGCCTGTAAACTCAGAAATCAAACTTGCAGGTTACACCTACAATCATCTTTGGAAAGAGCCACTCACCTAACTATACACATTGGTGGAAAGTTTAAAAAATGGTTTCAAACCTTGCTGCACTAAGTTCAAGATTCCCATACATCTTTGTCTTCTTTTTCTTTTTGGCCATACTACACAATTTACAGTTGCCTCTTGACCTTCTGTGACTTTCCTCCTCAATTCAAATGTTCACTGACCACTTTGTCAATTGTCTACACTGGCTGTTCTCCACCTGGTTCAGGAGGTGGACTGGGTACACAGCAGGATGTTCTCTGGGGATTCCCATGGACTACTGACAGACTTTCTTCTGTCACACAAGGAACTAAAACATAGCATTTTATAAACATTCAGTTCTTTACATCTAAAAATATCACACATCTGAATTTTTTCCATCAATATTATATATGCTATTCATGTCCATTGGTTTTCTTGTCTGTAGAGTTTATTAGGGGGCAAGTTAGTAGACATTAAGGTTTAATAAAGTTCTAAGAAAACATTTTACATTGGAAAGAAAAACTATTCATTGAGTTTTTATCTATAGAAATCAGAAAAAGACCACCAGCACTGATTCTAGCAACAGAACACCCTGGTTCGGCTCCAGGGTTCCACCGAAATACAATTTGAAAACCACTGGTCTATGCGTTCACGTCCATACATACGGAACTTTGTTTGAAAACTCCACGACAAAAAAATTATGCCTGCTCCCTTCCTCCAGGCCGCCCATATGATTATGCATCATACAGCATACACTAAATACAGCTAGACAGTTAACCAGTGCATCCTCTGCCCTACACTGTTTCTTAAAAGTTACTAGCCAGACTTGCTCATCACAAGGTAAAATAACATTAAAAAAAAAAAATCACACCTCTGCCTCCTGTCATTCTGATTTATTTTGCACTCTCCCAGAAGGCTGAGATCTCACCTAGATCTACGTTTCTGTATACAGGGAATTATCAAGCCCACATAGTGCTTTATGATAATGTCAAAAAATGTCAATGACTTATTTTCTGGGGAATGAAAATTGCAAGGTTTTATCCCAAGAGGACAGAGACAGAGCTGGTATAGATTACTTTACAGCACTTAGCACAGTATGACACTAAAGACAGACATGAAATGAAAGTGTTTTGAAAAGATAAAACCACCATCTTGGAAAGAGCCCTAAAATATAGGACTAACAGGCTTGGTTATAGCCTCAGCTCTGTCGTGGAGTAGCCATAAGACCTTGGGCAAATCCCAGTCTCTGTGAGCCTCAGTTTCCTTCTCTGTAAAATTGGGATGCCAACTTCCTGCCAATGATAATGACTGTAGTGAGGGATAAGAGGGTTTGAAAACTATTGTATCTGTCAGTTTGTTGCTCTGACTAAACAAATGGCATGGGATGGTTAGAGGGTTAACTTATATACCAAATACACTTAGGACTAACTTCCAACAACTGTTACTAGACTGAGACATTCTCAAAACACACTAAACATTGATTGCAACTGTCTTTAAGGGATTCATAATATATATCACCATCCTATGGTTGCCCTGGGATTTATTTTTAAGACCATCTGTCAACAGTGATCTATACAAGTATAAAAGTGCAAATTAATAAAAGATTGTGGAAGCAGATTAGGTAGGCTGAGAAATGAAGCGGGCTCCCGGTCCTGGCCCAGGGAGACGGGGAGAGGTTACAGAAAGACAAGGGCAGGGACGGCTGGGTAATCTCCGCAGAGCCCCTTCCAGAAAGGAGCAGCTGTGGACACACGGACTTCCAAACCCCTCCTCCAGCCTTGGACTCACAGTTTTGTCCTTGGTGGTCATCTCCTTGGCCATGGCATCTAGGGCAGCTCTGGTCCCAGCGCTGATCTGGCCTGGGGCCACCACCACCATCTTGCGCTGCTTGGCTGGGAGCTGGGAGAGGACGTCACACTTGAGGCGTCGCAGCATGACCGCCTCCTCCAGCAGGAGCTTCAGCTCTCCGAGGTTGGAGGAGCCCGAATAATCCCATCCCCAGGGCATCTGTGGAGGCAGGACCGAGATACGGCCTGTGAGGTTTTCCCAGGGCTGAGTAACAGGGCCGTGAGCCCCAGATACAACCTTCTCTTCCCTGGTCTCTGCTCAGAGAACTCCAAGTGGCCTTGCAGGATGAATAAAACCTCATAAAATACAAATGAGAAACAGGAAGGAAAAGGGAGAAAGAAAATCAGGAGTGAGGTGGACCAATAACACGTATCATCGTGTCCCACAGTTTGGCACTAAGCTTTCTAGCTGCAAAGGCAGGATGTCAAGAGGTTTGGTGTCCATTACGCTCAAGAACTAACAAGGCACTCAGCTTGTCCCAGATACTAAATGCAGAAATAATCCTTCCTGGGGCTTACCCTTCAAAACCCATTTCACAATATAATAGATGATGTTGTAGTATCTTTATTGGATGAGGTTTACGAGGATTTACAAAGCTGTTCTTCCTCAGTGTGGGTTATGCCAACAGAAACAAGCATGGCGTGGTGAACACAATCGCGGTGGAGGGGGGGGAGCTGAAGGGAGAAGCCCAGAGCACAGGTGTCTGCAGTCTGGCTGAAACCAGAAGGGGTTTTATTTAGAGTACCCAGGGAGTCCTTCAAAAAAAGAGTCCCTTCATTTAGCTGCTCATGGGAGACAGTGAGCAAGAATGTCTATTTCCTACCACACAGCTGGATAAGATGTTACCAGTTGAAATAAAAACCCTGTCCTTTACTAACAACTTCCTGGAAACAGGACTGACTTCTATGGTCTTGCAGAAAATCAGGGAGCCAGGGTGCCTGCTGCCTTAGAGTTTCAGTTGCTCGTCTCCCCTTGTGCCTCAGCCCACCCTGGACTGTGAACTTCTGAGGGCAGGGGCTTGATCATTTTCCAGGGCCAGTGTACCTAGAACAATCATGGAAAATTTATAGGACACCTTTGCTAAACTGAGAACAGGAAAAGACAGCCCAAGGTGGAGAAATAACATAATAAAACTGCTTCTTTTTAAAAAAACAAAATTCTGAAATCAACTAGAAGTTCTCTGCAAATGCCTTCATGCTATGAGGTCGAAAATGAGCTTGGCATGGGGCATTCTCTTCAGTGGCTTCTCTTCATGCAAGAATCTGGCCACAAAAAGAAAAAAGAAAGAAAAAGAAAAGGAAAAAAAAGGCGGCCCGGCCTACCAGCTGCTTTATATAAAAATCATGCTAGGAACAAAAGGGTATCATAATTAATTTGGGTATCATGAACCTACATTCTCATATTGTCAGCTCTTAATCTTACAGGTTAAAACTCAATAATACCAAAGGCTGACAGCTCAGCTGATTAACGGAAATAACAAACACCTAAGATGATTCTCTGTGTCATCCTTTCTCGGGTCATTTTGGGGAGGAACACTGGAAATGTGTGCAGGCCCTGGCCAACCTGGCTATGGTCGGTCACCTGACACTGAAAGGCCCCTGGCCCAAGCCAGGAAACATACCGAGTCCACCAAGAACACACTGCTGAGCTGCAAGAGAGGCACAGCCACAGACAAGGAGAGCTTTCGTCATGCTCCACTGCACTCTGGGGGTGGCCCCGCTCCTGCCGAATCAAGGCAGAGAGGCCTACTTCAACCCGCAGAGGCAGAGGGCACACAGAGGAGCTGAAAGAATTACGTAAGGTAAGTGTTTGCGGATTACCAGTCTCAGAGAGAGACCAACTTGCTGGGGCGGGGTCTCCTTGGCCATCCGCTGGTTGAAAACAGCCCTGGCATACTCTGTGAAGGCACCTGGCAACATTCATTACTGCCGACAGTGACAGGACGTCGGATGTGACCAGTCTACAGTGGAACCACGCCCAGGCCCGCCAGCACTGGCTGCAGGCCCATTCGACCTGTGTTTCTCTGTGCACTGAGCCAGCCCCCAGACCGCAGAGGTGAGCGTGTTACCAGCCGAGGCCTATGCCATGTCTGGAGGGGCCCAGCACAGAGAATCTCAGCAAAGTCCACCCACGTGAAGACTGGAGCTCGCACGGGCGATGCATCCGCTGACGAGGAGACCAGCGGTAACAGGGCCAAGCACTGGCTCCGCCCACACCCCCTTCTGCTGCTCTCAACCTCCAGGCCCCTTTCCTCTGGTTCACAAGAGACGCTGGTAGCACCTAGAATTTTCTTTTCCCTTTGTCTGGCAAGGCCATCCTTCTGAAAGCGAGTGGCTTTGGAAGGGACATAGGGAACTTGTGAGGAGGACAGCGGCTCCCGCTCCGCCGCCTGGGTCAAACTGATGAACACTAATGCCCGTCAGGAGGAACTGGGGTTTGTGAATAATGTAACTTAAACATTTACAAGTCGCTGGTTTCCTCACTGGGACGAGAAATGGACAATGGCAATCCACTTTGGTGTACACTGTCTTCCAGGCATATGTGAGAGAGACAGAGAGAGGAGGAGAAGGGGAAGGGGGTGGGGAAGGGAGAGGAAGAATGAATAATTAATTATAAGGAATGTTTTGCATCCTACTTCTTCCCACTCTTTTATTTCTCCATGTCATTAAATATCCTTTTTTCCTTAAGTTAAAAAAAGTTGAGGTTTTAGAAGTGGAGACTTTGATGGCAATGGCATTCGTGTTTACGAGGCTTCCTCTGCCATATTTGGAGAAGAGAGGCCATGCGGGTTGTAGCTCCAGCAGCATCTGCCCCACTGGCACCAAATTCACAGAAATAATCTGTAGGTCAGAGGCTTCTGGCCTGGTGACCAGGCACAATTCACTATAATGAGTCAACGCCTGTGAGCAGAGGCCCGCTGATGAGAGCCCACCGGGGCAGCCCAAGATCCGCTCCCCGCCCCGCCTTCCCCAAGGCCCCCTCTGTCTTCCCACAGAGCGTGCAGGGCCTCGGCCTCGCCTGGGACTCACCCCGGCAACCCCTCTCGGGGGAGAGCCGCTGGCCCTCAGGGCTCCACACACCTACGTGTCAGCCACCGGTTTCTTTGTCGGAGAACACTAACCCGGACCCACCACAGGTGTTAAAGCTCAGAGGGGCCTAACCCCTGAGGACAGGCCACGGTCAGAGTTAGGTGCGAAGCAGAACTGAAATCTGGCCTGCGCTTTTCTGATCACACCATGGCCAAAGGGAAGGAGCAAAGGCCAGTGTGAAAGTCAGAGTGAGGGATGCTCTGGGAGGAGAGGGAACGGAGAATAAATACCCGCTTGGCACCACAGTAGCGAAGTCCAAAGGCGTGGAACTGAGGGAAGAAGGTTGGCTTGACAGCAAGGATCTGCGTGTAGAGCTCAGCAGGCCGGGACATGGCTGGCGTGCCTGACAGTAAGATCACCCGCTTGGCAACCTGGAAGACAAACAGTAGAAGATGCCGAGAGGCGCAGAGGACAGGCTGGGAATCTCCCCGGCGCCCTGTGAGCTGGAGACGATGCCCCCGGAATAGTATGTTCCCCTGGAATCTTGCATGAACACCTCCAGTTTCTGGTACTTCTCAAGATTACTCACCTCAGAACCAAGGTGGATCTAGCTTCCAAAGACATGGAAACTGGCCTCACACCCCAGCTCCGTGGGGCCACACCCTGGGTGGGAAGTCTAAGTGAAGATACTGTGACTGGAGAAAAAGAGCACGCATGCTCCAAGAACCTCACGGTGTGACACGTGTAAGAGGCTGGACGTCCTCTCCTAAGCTGCCTCAGCTGCGCCCCCTGCCCACCTCTATGTGAGCACTTAGAACACTATACTGAATTCCACCTTGTCTTCTCCCTCACTGGACTGCAGGCTTATTGAGATCAAGGACCAGGCTGTGATCACTTTTATACTCTGTAGCACCATGGCTGGCACAAAGTAAGCAATCAATAATTATTCATGTTGCCTAAAAGTATTTAGAAGGAAGCTAATGAGCATCCCAGGAAACTTGGAGTGAACTCAAAGAATCCAGCATTGGAAGAGGAAGTGAGAGTATGGGAGATGGCAGCAGCTCTGAACTTTTTCCAGGATAGACTTCCGACCCCCAGGCAGAACCTATGAGCAGATAGCAACACCTAGGACCAGTCCTTTCTCAGTCCCAGGAGGAAGAGCAATGGCCTACATATAAGCCTCTATTTGATTTTCTTTACAGGGAAAAAGAAAAGGCCATCTCTAACTCAGCTGCAAAATGCTTTTCAGCCTTGAGATCTCTGACTCAAGCTCATTTTGCAGTTAATAAGGACTTTAATAAAAGATGGGACCTGGATCCATTAACCCTACACTCAGCTCGGGCCTGCAGCAGCCGTGGGCAGCATGGGCATAAATAGTTGGTGGATTCCAATGACAGACTCCAGGCTCCCCATTATCCCGACACCAGCCTGACCCAAGGAGACCAGACCCAAACATCTCACCTCTTACTCAGATGAGAAAGAGGGCGAGATAAAAAAGGAGACACTTCCCACTGTATGAGAACATGGAATGGCCAAAGATCACTGGAGGTAAAGTGCATTTCACCTCTGGAAAGGGACCCTGCCGTGGGGCTCAGTTGTCTAGAAACAGCTTGTTAACCACTGTCACCTTGACTTAGTGACAGCAGCATAAGGCAACTGCATGCAGTCAATCACCTACAGGAGGAAATTAGGTTTTCAAATGGATACACTGCCTCATAAAAATAAATAAATAAAGATGCAACAGAGGAAAGAAAAATGATTCTTTATAAATATACAATATATACAATTTTCAAGATGCACTTCTGCCCTCTCAGCAACCACCAATACCTAATTCCACTATGACAGGAGAGCTATGAATTTCTCCAGCTATCATTTTCCGCAGTTCAATTACCCAGCCTTCTAATTTCCTGCACGGTTTAATGCAGACTCATTAAAATAACAATGAGCTTCTTGAATGACGCCTGTAGCATCGCTTGCCTTGGCTCAAGACCATTTCAATGAAACGGGGAAAATGAAAAGTCTTATCAGGAAGAAAAAATCAGCTCATCGTCCCAAAGCTCTTCCCCACGTGACTGCTGCTGCAGCCTCGGGATGGAGCCTGGGCAGCAGCTCACGGATCAGGGGATGGAAATTAACCCCAGGGTTCTCGGTCAGGTACTCATAGGATAGAGTGAATGCAGAGTCAGACCTCCCATACATGGTCCAACCGTGGAAAATGGATGCTTGTGGGTGTGAACAGGCAGAGGCAGCATCATGGAAAAAGAAAAAGGCCAGCTGTGAAAAGAAGCCAGGACGGCATCTCATCTCCACGGAATGATTTAGCCTGAGCAGCCCCAGCACGTCTGACTGTCAGCACTGCCACCCGTGAGGCCTTTAATTGTGCCCCGCTGCACATGATTTATACGTCACTCTCCACCTCTGAGAACTTCCAATTTAGGAAACTATAAATGCAAAAAAACTACATAAATCAACACTAAATTGAACACTTCATAGTTAAATCCTCTGGCACTCAAGAAATGCACAATGGAACAATGTAAAAAAAATGATTTCTATTTGCCTTTGGAGAGAAGTCTGGCGATTCACACGAGCAGGGGACCCCTCCTGTTGCCTGCCTGATCACTGTGGGAGGGCAGACCCTCCAGCTGACACCACTCCCCTCTGACCTGGAGAGGCAAAGAGCCATCTCTTTAAAATGCGAAGGGTTTTGGGTTTTCTCTTCTAGGTGCAGGGGAACTGGGCTTTCTACTCCCCACTTGTGTTATCACATGAAAAGCTGGCCATTGCAGTGCTGTACCTAACACCCAAAGCCTGGTTACAAAGCCACCACAAGGGAACAGATGATGCACATTATGGCAGATTCATACAACAGAATACCATCTGCAAGAATGAGGTCAAGTCATCAGGAACGAGGTGGAAAGATTACCAAGATACAACACTAAGGGAAAAAAGGTAGGTGCAAAATGGTGATTGTCGAACACTCGGGAGGGAGAAAGGAAACACATGTGCGTGTACTTTCATGCGCATGGACTAACTTTTAGAAGTGAACCTGAACACTGGGCAGCTGTGGCTGCCTTCAGGGAGACGACTGGGGACTAGGAATCCAGAGGTGGGAGAAAGTTATTCTTCACTGTACACCCTTTTGTACTATTTGAATATGCCGTCTGTTTCAACTAATGAAAAAGGAAAAGAAAAAGCTATACACCTTAGACCACTATTCTCATCCAGCCAATCGGCAGAGATTAAAGGACTCTACACACACAAAGAGGAACAGCGAGTTATTTGGAAAGGATGGCGGGATTCTGAGGGCCTTTTTCCTTCTAAAGAAATAATCTAACTGGTTTAACAATAAAAAGTACTATAAATAAAACACCACTAAAGGAAACTCAAACACACACCTCACTGCTCAAAAGGGAAAAGTCTGATAACATTCAGGGCTGGGGTCACGTGGAGAAAAAGACCATGTTATTCAGGCCGAACAGGAGTGAAGACGGTGCTGCCCGAGCAGCCTGGACTGCAGAGGCATCTATCAAAAGGTAAAATTACGACCCAGAAACTCTGAATGTAAGAATCTGTCCTAAGAGGACAAAGTATACAAGCTGTGAATATTCAGATGACGTTCATTTGCAGAATTACTTATAATAGCAAAACAGCCTCCAACACTAAGGGCTAAATTATGGGATGTGTCCATATAACGAAATGCTCCCAAGCCATTAAAAATGACGATCTTGCCCTGCAACTGACAGTGTTAGAACAACAGTGGTTTTCTATGTTGGAAGAAGTAAAGGTGATTTTAGTTTTGTTCTTTATAGTTTCTGTCTTGCCTACTTTCACACAGTTGACACTTAATCAGTGTGGGTTTGCACCGCACAGGTCCACTTATCAGCAGGTATTTTTCAATAGTAAACTCTACAGTACTACATGGTCCAAGGCTGGATGAATCAGAGGATACGGAGGAACTGCAGTTGCCAAGGACCAACTAACTATAAGTTAAGGGCAGACTGACCCCCACGCTGTTCGAGGGTCAACTGTATATGACAGGGACCATCTTGCTTAGCATAGCCCAGGTGAATGGTGCTGCAGGGGAAGAAAGATGTCACACTTCCCGGGGGACAGTGACGCCAGTTTCTTACAACCTCAGCGCCATGTCCTCTGGACGCAGCTGCTGTTTCCATTCACGAAACCTGCATTATCTGGCCTGGCTCTCTCACAGGCAGTATGAGCTAATCTAATTACCTCATTACGGACATTTGCTGAAAATATCTTAAAATACGAATTATCATAACACAGTTCTATGAGATGCACAAGTTAAGAGGAGCAATCAAGTGCTATTAAATTAGGCCCTTATGTGGCTTTTCAAAGGCATTATTTACTTCTTCCCAACTCTGTTTATTCCCAAAATACTTAAATTCATTTCCTTAGAGTATATAGATCAGTGGTTCTCAACAGAGAAGGGGAGGAGTGATTTGCTCCCTTACCCCCAGGGAACATCTGGCAATATCTGGAGACAACTGTGGTTGTCACAACTGGGGGTGCTCGCAGCATTTAGTGGGTAGAGGCCAGGGATGCTGCAAAGCATCCCACGATGCTCGATACAGCCCTGTGGATAACCAGCAACTGTCCAGCCTAAAACAGCACGAGTCGAGTGCCAAGGTTGAGGAACGCTGGTCTAGATGAAAACACAGCAGACAGATGAGAGGTTTGATTAACAGAGTAACACAGAATGTCTCATTCTCCATCTCCACTCAGTCACGTTAAAATTCCAGCATCACGTGAAGTCAACATTAGGGGCGAGCGCAGCTTCAAGATGCTCATCAACAGGCTATGCTCATGGGTCCTATTTTAAAATGTCAATTCATCCAAGTTCTGCTGCATAGGCAGAGTAACATATACTAGTTAGCAGTTAAAAGATTTGTTTTAAATGTGTCACTTTGAAAGAGACCCAAGATATTAAAAACGTAAACACTGCTTTAAAAGTGTTTTAAAAGCTTCTGGCTCAGAAGCACATAATTTAGAAGCCAATATTTAAGTCCATATTGTCTGGCCAGGCAATGAGTGAATTAACAAGATAGCTGCTAAGAAGCTTTGCTGTTTATCCTTAACGATATAATCTATCTACCATGCAGTTTCTTTTGTCTAAATAGTCAGGGGTACAGATTTAATTTTAGTTATGGCTGTAATACCGGAACCATAGTACCAAGGCCTATTAAAATTTTTCAGAAGAAAACAATAAAACCTCCCAAAAGAAAAGTCAACACTCCGGGAAAAACATTTCATTTAAGTGTGTCCATAAATGGCTCTCAACCTATGAACGTTTGTAGGTAATACGAGCAGAGGATCAAGCTTTTTAAGTAAAGGACTTTTAGCTTTGGAGAAAATAACATAGTCCTGCTTTGGAAGATGTATTATATTACCTGCTGTTCCTAACACAAAGCAAACTTGAAATGAGTAGACACTTGCATGTGTTCTACGGGGAGTTAGAAAAAAACTGAATTAATTTTCAAATACTAGTAAGTTTCACCAACATTTAGCATTTGTTTTCCCTAGCTTAGGTACAATTTAAAGCTACTTAAAGCTTCTTTTAAGCAGGAAAAAAAAAAGGCTGCAGTTTTAAAATGCTTACGCAACCCAAAGGCTGCTTTAATAGAGTCCAGTTTGCTCAGTCCATACAAACCAAAGGAGAGTCCCCCAAAGTCCTCTGTGAGACGTTTCTACCTAGCTATGAGAGAAAAGACTACTTTTCTAACTGTACTATTTTTTCCCAATAGTAGGATAAAGCTCACTACAAAAAGATGGAAGGAGATGGGTCTTCCCTCTGCCGGGACACAAAATACAGACCCAGAAGTGTGTGCCATACAAAACAGGGAGCTTATACTGCAATCAGAATGGAATGCTTTTGGATAAAGACTTGAGGCTGCACTGTACACACACACAGACACACACAGATACACACACACACACATACACACACACACATACCCCTTCTGCTCTGAAGCCAGGACTCAAGCAAACCGCTCAGCACAGGTTTAGACCACCCCAGGAAGGGAAGTGCACGGTTGGCCCTCCCATTAACATTCTCGGAGCCGCCCCAGAAAAGCGCATCATCTTATAAAGCCAGTCTTAGCTTTGTAGCGCCTCCTGCTGGTGCCCATGGCCTGGTTCTAAGTCTGCATAACACATAGCCCTTGGTTTCCAGCACCATGAGAGCTTTGTGACTTAGAAGACGGGCAGTTCCTCCTGGGCTACTTAGAGGACACGCTGCTGGAGGCTGTCCCTCTGCCTCGTCCAGGAGGAGCCCAAGAAGGTTCTGGAGTGAGTCTCGACCAGGCCTGTGACCTTCAACAGGTCTTCATCTTTGAGAGACAGACAGACGCACTGACCACTGGTTCCTTGGAAGGATGCTAAGGAAGAAAAACTAATCTGGCACTTAAGCCCTAAGTAGAGATGCCCTGAGTCGATGCCAAGTCACATCCACGGCCCGCAGACCTGGACTTGCAGCCCCTGTTCCCCTTGGGCCCTTGGCCAGCCCAAGCCAAATACAGTGGATCTCAGTGCCAAGTGTGCTCAGGTACCAGGTCTGTTCTCAGCAGCACTCACCTTGAGGAGAGGCATAGCCGCGCGACAGCGGGCGGTCTTAATATTTTTGAGGAAGTGAGATTCATCCTGAAAGGGAAACAGTCATGTAAGTGAACAAGGCCAAATCCTGAATGGATGGAGAGAAGGCCCACATTCAGCCTGGCCCTGGCATGGCATTACATTGAGTCTGCCTCCCTTAGCACGTTCTCATTCAGGGAGACGGCTGTGAGCCTGGATAAGGCCCAGGCTCCAGTGCATCTTCTCCATGACATTCCCGGCAAGATGCTTTATCTCTCAGGGACGGTTTTCCACCTGCCACGTGGGCTTGGCGACTCCCCTTCCCTCCACCTCACAGGATGCACAGAACAAACCACTGAAAGGTGGTTTGCTGGTTTGCAAGATGCATCTGACATCTGCAAGGCACTAACATAGTGTGCTGCAGACCCACTGTGTGCCGGGCACTGGTGTGAGGTGCCGCGGCCCCCACCAGCCACTCTGACACCTGCTCAGATCGTGTACTGCATGCTGTCACCAAGGTGGATGCAACACGGGACAGTGGGAACTTAGGGAAAGACGACGTGATTCTCTCCTCAAGGGACTGACTGTCACGTTTAGAATGTGGAGTTTGATTATTTAGAGCTCTGCATTCTGTGCATAAGCAAACTAGAATACGTCATATTTCACAAAGCCAAACAAATAACTAACACTTCTTAGTATCAGGGGGAAAATTCCAAGTTACTTGCTGTGTGATTCGGAGCAACTACTTGACCTCTCTACAGCGCCAGTTCCTCCATCTGTAACATAGGAACAGTAAGGGTACCTAACATTATCACGTTGTTGTCTTAAATGGACTGACGCACACGAAGCCCCTAAAACAGTCCAGCTACTTAGACAGTTATCAGTTGCCCTAAGACGGGGACACCAGGGAGATCCCAGCTCTGTCCCTGAAGATGATCTATGAGAAACCCTGTTCTGTTTCAGCTATGATGAACCAAAAAGGAACCCAAAAGCACAAAAAGGGGAGTGTGAGATGAATCCCCAAATATTAAGACAATACGTACTCTCAGAAGCCTGGGGTGCAACATTCATGCTCTTGTCTAATGATGATCCTGCCTGACAGCCAAGAAAAAGAGGTTTAGAAAGCAAAGTAGCAGAAAGTACAGAGGATACGGATGGGAACAGGCTCTTTCCACCAGTGGGTAAAAATGTACCACTATTATAACTCATCAGAGGGAGAGGCTTTATCCGAATCTCTTCTGAGAAGTGTGACATCACAGAACCAGCCCTTTATTCCTTCCAACAACATTGCTCTGAAATCAGAAGACGACAGGGTTCTTACTTAACTGAACAGACCAACACTGGTGGGGAGTGGCTTGCCAAAAATCATATGGAAGGTCAAGTGTTGAGCCAGAAACAGAAAAACATGAATTCTGAAGCAGATGCAACCCAGCTTTGATTAGTGTCTCTTCACCCTGCACCTGCAGGCAAATCAGGTGCCCTCTGTCACTGACAGTCTCATCAGCTGTGATGCCTTCCGGGCCATGGGAGGATTAGCCATCACACACAAAGTACCCCCTGGATGCTTCTTCCTCCTACACACTGTACAGTCATCACCATCATGCTGCAAGACTTCTTTTAATGTTTTCATTCCACATTTGTGCTGATATCTTTTCAAAGACGTACATAGATCTGTGCCAAATCAGTAATGACTCCTCCCAAGACTCATTACTCTTAAAGCTATGAAAAAATGCAAATGTTTAAGTTGGCATATGCTAAGAACACAATATGGTTCTCATGTCCAAATTACAAAAACAGACCCCCAAGGTCAGTGACTGTGTCTTCTCCTTCCCCTCTGAGCGCCCACAGTCCTTGGCTTCCAGGTCTCTGAAGGCACTGGAATGGATTGTAAAGATCTGCGTGTGTGTCCACCTGTCCTGCTGGACTGCGGCTCCACAGAGGGCAGGGGGCTGACCTTCCTCCCTCCACACCCTCCGTGCACAGCACTGTAGGGCGTGGAGCTGGTTTCAACCTCTAGCTAGATGAGTGAGCGGATAAACGTGCCTCCCACGGCCACCAGCCTGCTGCTGGGAAAACCAAGGCATGGCCTCTACCGCAGTCTGGTTGGCGGGGGCGATTCAGAGGCTCTGGAAGGGTTTTCTAAAAGCCCTTCCCTGCCTCTCCTTCCAGGTGAGATAATCACTGGGTTAAGAGGAGCAGCGAGATCTGGGAAGCCACTGCCCATGGAGAATCCTATTTTTAGAGGAAGAAAATACCATGGGCTTTTTCAAGTCACACATTTGAATAAAGGACATTTCATGTCACCTGGAGGCACTGGGTTTCCCTGTTTTGTCAGGAGGAAAAGTGAGGATAAACTTCCCCTGGAAATCACCCACCACACGCTTTGTCCTGGAATGTGTCACAGGACTGGGTGTGGGAACCAGATGGATGGGGACGGGGATGAGAGAAACTCACACCTTTTCAGAGCTATGTTTGAGAGTCATGTAGACACACTGAGTGCTGACAGAGGAGGCTGGAAGCAGGTCTCCCCAGACCTCCCTGATGAAGTATGAGAGGAGTTAGAACAAGGAAAGTTGGCAATTAAAAGATGTGTCGCCACATCTGAGAGCAGGACACTAAAGACTTCTTAAAAAAAAAACAACCCAGGGTAAAAAGTACTTTTTTGTGGAGAGAACTGTCTTTATATTGGCTGGAAGAAAATCTGTCAGCTGTCTGAATGCACATCTAAGTCATCCCGACAAGAGGCACCAGATGAAGGCACACGCCCATGCTGTCCAGCCTGCAGTTCCTGGAGCCCCAGTAGTCCTGGGTCCACATGTTCGCCTCCATCCATGACCCCACGTGGGGAGAGAGGGGCAAGAAACCCCTGGTGCAGAACCAGTAAATCACAGGTTTTTAACAAACCCCCAGGAGATTCTAACGTGTACCCAGGGCTGAGAACCACTAACTGAGACGAATGGAATATCAGTTTCCCACAAAACAAAGACAGTGATTTCCATTCTCCTAGAAACCTAGTGAGGCTCTGTGACATGGACATGGACACTCCTGGAACTTTTAAGAAGAAAGCTTCCACAGAGATAAAGCACTAAAGACGGTGCCAAGTCACTTACAATGATGACAACTTTAAAAGGGGTTTTGAGTTGCCTTTCTAACTTGCTCAGAAGGTCAAAACTGACAATGTTGACCAGGCCAGCCGTTAGGCAGTCCTTCCCAGTCACCACGACATTGATGCGGTCTGGCCTCAGAGACGGCAGCCACCGACGGAAGGCCTGGGGACGACAGGACAGAACAAAACTGAAATGATGATCCGGCCCGGCAGCAGACAGCTGCGACCCCCGCCAACCCACCCACTGACTCTCCACGTGGACCAATGTTAACGCCCCCTGAAAAGAAACTGGGTCTCCTTCCCTCCCCGTCCTCCTGCATTTGTCATAACCTTGTCCCACGGGCAGCAGTCATCTCCCTTGTGCTCAGACCCAGCCCCTCACTTCCCACTAACAGGACACTTCCCCTTGGTAAGCAAGCACCCGTTAGCAGTCACTTTGGGTGCCTGGGTTCAACTTCTGTCACCTTTAGCTGGATGGCAAGTTTCTGCAGAGAACGAATGCATCTCTTTTTAAGAATTTTATAAGGGATTGTTAGCAGAGCCTGGTACACCGAGGGCACTGATGATGATGAAAATATTCATGTCAGTGTTTGCTACAAAGCCAGTGGACAGCCACCAGGTGCCCCTGTGTCAGCAGCCGGGGGTCTGGTGCTCCCGGCAAGCCTGGGCCGACACAGTCCTGATACTGGAGTGCCAGTCCTTTTTCCAGGCTCCATCCTGCTAATAACCATCTTACTATATGACCCTTCCCTGGCATCTCTGAGGGTGCTGTGGGAATCGAAGACACACACAAATAAATGTGTGTCGAACTGTTAGTTCCTAGAGGTTCTGGCACAACTCAGATCGCAAGGACAGAAGAATGAGGTACTGGTTTGACGCACATTTTTTAAATTTCGCTTTCTCTCCAATCGGAGGGGCATATCGGGCATCAGGGCCCCTGGCTGCAGGCAAAGCTGCCTCTTCCCCAAGAGCAGCTCCCGGGGCTGAGTAAGAAGCCACAGCGTGAGGAAGCCAACGGCCACCTCGGGTAGCATAAAGCAGGGAAGAGCTACGGACGATGAACCAGGCCTTCCTTCCTCAACTTTGCTTGTGTGGATTTTTATTCGTTTCACAGGAACCCTCTGATCCTTGCATTTATGGCTGACAAAGCTCGTGGCTGAGTGATAACACAATGTTCATGTCGGGTTCTCCAGCCATAGAGGTTCCTAGGAGACCGTGACTATCCCAACCACACTGCCTCCTACAGGGTGCAAAGCCCCCGAGCCACGAAGTCAGGGGGTGCAACTTCAAGGCCTGAGCTTGGTAAGGCCTTGACTTTCCTCTCTAGAGGCGTAAGCTGATTCTAACCCAGAAAACCAGGAGCCTGGCCAGCCTCCTGCCTTCAGCTGAGACAAGATCTTTCAGGCTCCCCAGGTCTTGTTCCCAAACTATCATTTCATGGCTCTAACACTGAGGAAAACCCTTCTTTTTAAAACCACACCAGGAGAGCTGACCTGCTCCCAGGTGAAGCGCACGGATGAAGGTACCACCACCAGGAGCGGCCACTCCTTCTGGTAGTAGGCCACGATGCAGATGGCTTGGATGGTCTTCCCCAGGCCCATGTCATCGGCCAGCAGCAGGCGGCCTCTTTTCGCGATGGCAAAACTGAAAGCAGATAAGGTGAGGAGAGGGCACCACGCGAGTCCCACAGTGCTGGTTAACCCGCCATCGTGCCCCCACGTGAAGCCACCCTGCTGCTCGGCATGGGCTGCCTGTTCACAAGGAGAGACCTGCTCCCCAGAGCAGGAAGACAGGAGCCAAACAGGGGGCAGAGTGATAACAGTGAAGAAAAGGCTACAACAGGGACAATGTGAAATGTCGTCCAAAGGTAGGGAGAAGCTCTAGAAGCCAATCAGGTTGTGGGAGCCGAGGGAGAGGGTTCCAGGAAGGAGCCGTCCTCAGCCCAGGCCAGGTGAGGCCCAGGGGATGTGGAAGGAGGAGAGTGGGAAACAGCCCCTAACGAGGTGCTGGGAGGAGGGCGCTTGTCACATCAGGGATCTGCTGGGAAAGGAAGAAAGACGACGACGGGGCAGGGGGGTCAAAATAAGGCTTTCTCAAGATCAGAGAGGGCACTGTGTGCATAAAGCTAGCAAAGACAGAAGATGCTGGAGAAAAGGAGGACAGCCAGAGGAAAGGATGGAGTGATGGTGTCTGTCTAAGACGGGGCACCAGCCTCAGCAAGGGCTCTCATTACCCAGCAGCCTCCAGGGTCCCCCAGCCCTTCAGAGCTGCAGCCCTTGCCAACAGTGTGTGAAGGGGCGTGGAGTTATTACCCTGCTCCTTCAGAGCCCGACTGGCCTGGAATCCTAATTCCACCTCTTGGGAGCTGTACGCCTTTGTGCAAGCTGTCTGACTTCCTCGTGCTTCAGCTATGACGTGGGACTAACAGCAGGAAGCACCCCAGAGAGCACTGCCAGGGTGCATAATGTTTAAAGCCCTCAGAACAGCGCCTGGGGCCTGCAAAGGTGCTGAGGAAGTGTTTCTCTTATAACTATTATCCAGGGAGAGCCTTCTGTTTCAGCCTCTAAGGGGTAGCTATCCATTTGGCTTCAGCCCCCCGGTCATTCCCAAAGCAAAAAAGACCCCTGAATTTCATACTTTCCTTTTACCCTGCCTTGAGGTAGCCCAGCTTAGGAACAAAGTGATAAATAATGAGAACAAAGACAATGCCAGGATGATAAACAATCACCTGCTGAACGCCATTTAACAGGGTAGTTTAGTATTAAAGAAAAAATGCTGCACACATCGTCGAAGACGTGGATTTTGGCCCCAGTTCCCCTTTTGGAAGCTGAGTGACTTTAGGCTGTGACTTAGACTGTCTTTCTTGGTCTCAACTCACTCCTTATTAAAAGGAACTGTTTAGATATTGGAGCAGGCTGATACATATCTAAGGGATTTTGCTCTGTACATTAAAGGGAGTTTTCAATTTTAGTTCTAACAAAAGACAAAGCAAAACAAAAAAACCATGGAATTGACAGCCCTCTTCTCCCAATAGCAAACTCCTTGGGAAACGAAAACTGACATCTGGATTTAACTGGAAGTTCTGAGGAAAGGCTGTGAGTACCACTGGCAGTTTCAGAGCGATCGAGGAAAGGATGGCAACAGCCCCCACGCGCTGGCTCTGACGCCTGTCGGCCCGGGGGTGCCTCACACAAACAGCGTCTCAGTGGCGACAGGTTAGCTGGAGAGGCCAGCACACACCGCGTGGACCCAGCGATCTCTCTTGGAGCCATGAGGAGCCTGCGCTCTGAAGATGGGGGTCGTCCAGAGCTGGGTGCAGGCAACCTCTCTCGGAGTTAACGAAGGAGCCAGAGGGGGAAAGATGAAAGGGAAACTGAGCCCGAGCCCCGGTGAAAGGAGGCCCAAAGGATGTCTCGACAGATGAAGGACTGAAATGGCAAAGCATGTTGTCTGAGAGAGAGAGCAGCACCCCGGCTGTTTCATGCTAACACGCAGGCCCTTCTAGACGGCGGTGAAAGAGGAGCCTTCGCAAAAGAAGGAGCGTCTGCGTGAACCCGTCCGTGGTGAGTGATGACATCCGAGGAGAGGGCAAGGGGAAGATGAAGGACCTACTTGACCCCAGTCCTCTGGAAGGGCAGCAGGCTAGACACAAGCTTGGAATCCACCCCGGAAAGGTCTGCCTCAGGGATGTCTGCCACTGGACAGAGAGACGTCTTCTCGAGCTGAGAAGCGAAAGCCAGGGTGAGCGTCTTGGGCAAAGGATCCAGCTGAACTTGGGGAAGGCAGCGCGCCCTTTCAACTAGAAAAAAGAACAGAGGCGAATGAATTGGAGTGTCAATGCCCAGGATCTCCGTGGGGAAAGCAGGGACTTCGAAATACCAAGGTCAGGGGCTGGAATTCTGCTGCTTGCCATCTTCTCCCAACAGTAACTGGAGAGAAAACTGGGTGCTGACAGATGCATTGTGGAGAACTAGCTTGCCCTCTCTATTCCCACTGTCTGCAAACCAGAGGGCAGTCAGTAATGCAAAACTGATTTTCTTCACTACACAAACACTGGAAAGAGCAAAAATGTTTTTATGACTGATTTCTTTTAAAACCAAAGTAACTTTTAAAATTTATCTTGGTATTCCCATTCAATAAATAAGAACCCATGTTCTTAAAAAAAAATAATCAGCCCAGGAAAAGCAAGACTTAGAATGAATAAATCTTGTCTTGTTTCCACTCTCCCTGTTTTATTTTGACTCCGGTGTTTTAGCAGTCAGAGAATTCTAAGTCACCAGCTAACAACAGGCAAGGAAGCGCCGCGCTCTGTGCAAAGAAGCTGTTCAGCATTTCCGAGGAAGATCAGGAGGGCAGTGATGCTGACCACAAACAACAATTAAGGGCAGAGTCCACGCAAAGGCCGCCAACCAATCACACTGCACGTGGCCCTGCACACTTCTGACCCTTTCCATAAGAGAATCATCATCTCCCCTTGACAGAGGTGAGTTTTTTACAGGTGTCAGCAAGCTAAGGCCTGTGGGCCAAATCGGCCTATTACCTGTCCTGGTAAACAAGGTTTACTGGAACTCAGCCAACCTACTTGTGTATGGACTGTCAATGGCTGCTGTCACACCACGACGGCAGAGCTGAGTAGTTGGGACAGGGACTGCAAAGTCCATGAAGCCGAAAATATTGACTACCGAGCCTTTTATAAAAAAAGTTTGCCAACCCCTGCTAAGCTTAGTCTAAACTATTACTAAGAGTGACCAAGGCTCTCAGTTAAAGCTTATATTTAGGGTCTTCACTTTCTTCCAAGTGCGCTGGTTCCAGACCCCTACAGGATAGATGGGGAAATCTCGTCTTCTAGCCGAAGTCACTAAACCAAGTGGGAAAAATTAATTACTTGGTATCTAGATGGAAATGGAAGCAAATTCATTTTGCTGATTTTGCCTTCGAAGGAATTTAGCTTCACCTGATTTTAAAATTATTAAGAGGGGAAAAAAACCCTTTATTCAATAGAGAAACAGAAAAAGAATAACCAGAGCTACAGACACAAATAAAACACAATTCTGGGGGGTGGAGGAGGCAAGCGAAGACAAGTTCAAAATTTTTAAAGTTAGAGAGAAGATGATAGACTAGAAATCTCTGGTGGTAGAATTATCATTAAACTACCCATCACAGCCGGCTGGCCTACAGTTGTAATTTTTAAGATGTTCTTCCCTTTGATCATTTCCTCTGAAAAATCTACTTAGAAGAATGAACATTGTTTACAGATCCTCAATTGCTCTTTATCCTTTACCTTTTCAGAGGCACCCAGGAGAGTTATAGTAACTCACCATGGGGTTAACTGTCTTCAAGAATCCAGAAGGAACCAGATAGAGAACGTGGGTCTCCTTCATTTCTACCCAATATCATTTGAAATCTAAAGTCGTTAATTCTCTAGTCCATATGTTTGTGCGTTTTCATAATCTCCTCACCACTATTCCAAGTCTTTTGCCACAGCCATCAATCGGCAGTTACAAACACTGGTGTGAATATGGAGGTCCAAGCCATCTACGGTCACCTTAAATTGCTTTGTCTTTTTAGTATATTTAAACCCATTTCGGTCTTTCCCTAAATGTATGTTCCAGTTATTTCTGGAAACAGTTTGCATGAACAGAATCACTATGATAAGAAATTAGGTGAGGTTGACGGCTTTAATATAAAAGAGACTGTCCATATTGATGCAGAAACACGTTTTATACTTTCAAATTAAATCTGAGCGTGCTGGTTTCTGCACACTTCAACAGACTGAGCACTCCATGCGCTTTCAGAACCCATTTTCATTTTAATCCTAGGGATCTTCAGCACTCAGATACCTGATGAAAGCTAAGAAAGGGCTGACGATCCAGCTGGGGTGAAATGTGGTGCTTTGTAAGCATTATGTCCTTTCAGCCACTGAAGAGGGAGAAATCCAACCTCCACTCTGTTTCCTACTGACTAGCGTCTCCCAGACCCTACGCTGCTCGTTCAGCCAGCTGGGTGTGTTTCTGAGACAGCCTCCATCCGCTGTCAATGGCTGTCCCTGCTAGCCCTTTCCCGTGCTGGGAGATGACAGCAAAGTGTCGTCTGGCTTCATGACTCATCGACAAGTCATCTCTGTGAAATAGCTCTCTGGCAGTATGCAACCGAGCCACCAGGAAGAGAGATGTTCGTGTTTTCAAATAGCAGCTAACAAGACCAGACCATCGAGGGGCACGCAGAACCCTCTGGACTGTAACAGGCAGGGGAAAACAGAGGGCCCTTTGCCAATTTCACTGTGGCCAAGAGAGCCCAAATCCGCCTGAGGAGAGCGAGGAGGAAGGCTCTGAGACGGGCCTTATCTGGAGACAGTAACAGTCGCACCCCAGCAGTGAGCACTCACACACTCAGCTCTCACTGCCCCTTCATCAGGTTCATATGCACGTGCCCACTGCTCAGGTCAACACTCTGACCCTACACATGAGGAACGAGACCTACGGGTGAGGAGGGAGGTGCAAAGTCCCAGGTTTACCGTCTGTTAACAGTGGAATCAGAACTAAACTGGGGACTGATATTCTGCAGCACCTCACCTCCTGGGCCTCTTAGCTCCTGGACCTGGCTTCTAAATTTCCTAATGGGTCATATCACAAACTCAAAACTGTAATTTCAGTCCAACTTGTTTGTAACACTGCAGTGTTCCAGACAAGGAAAACAACTGTTTCCTTTCTCTGGCTCCAAGCTTCTCCTAGTCTATGAAATGGGGAGAATCAGCCTTACAGTCTACAGGACATTATAACAAGGAGACAGCATGTTAAAAAGCAATCTGGACTCTAACTCTGAATTCTCAACTCAGGACCCTTGGGATTAGTGATATCAAAAGCAAAATCTTACGTGTAGCCATTATGTGCATTTTTCTGGGTGAAGAATCCTTTGTCTTCATCAGACATTTCAAGGAGTCCCTGGCCCACAAGACTTGGAACTATTATATATAACGCTATGTGAACTGTGAGTCATAGTTTTTCAACATTATGTCTATCTGCTAATGCTGTAAACATCCTGTTTTTTGTCCTTCCGTAAAAGTCAAAGCCTCTATAACTCACATATTTATATGTCTCTCTGTGGTTGAAAGACAAAGGGGTGAGAGAGAAATCATCAAAAATTCAGCTCTGGCCAAATGGTTTGCTCTCAATCACAGGTTCCAAACGGCACACGCCATGGGGTCTCAGATCGACGTCAGCCAACCTTCCTGCATCAGCGAGTGTTTGCTGATACTAAATAAGTAACTCATCATATTCAAACTTAACCTTGACTTTGCAGCAAGTCTTTCCTCAAGGAATTAAAAGCGCTTCCCTTTTATTTAATTTCTCTCAGTAGGACAGAAATGGATGAAATACACCTCCTCCTTTTTTTAACTGAAGGGACAAATGGGACCCAGAATATTCAATTACCTACCTGACACAGCAAGTTACATAAGGACACAGAGGGAAGGGACCCTCTTCCTTAAGGCCCTAGCCTGGTGGGCAAGACGGCTAATGACTTGGAGCCCCCCAGCTGGAGTATGTCTCTCTTGGCCTGACTGGTACCACCTTTGGTACCAGGAAGTCCTCAAAGGGTCACACAGGAGGAACCTATGCTGTACCAGCTTCATACCCCACAGGATCATGACAGCCTGGAAGATTGGTGACGGACAGGCTGAGATATGACCACACCCAGGAGATACACCATGCTGCTCTCTGAGATCCATTGCCCCACCCAAGCAGAACACTGAGAAACGTAAGCCCAAATTGGCTTCTCCTTCCTATAGTTGACCTGTACACAGAGCCCTTCCCTTGGTCAGTATCCAAAGCGCTTATTAAATGTTTACGCGCCCTGGCCTTGGCTTCAGAATTCAGCCCATTATGAAGCCTGTAACCACTAAGGCTCTCCAACCTTCACTGACCACCTGGTGCTAGAAGTAAACTGAGAGCCTGTTCTCAGAAGGAATTCAAAACAGCTTCCATTTAAGCCAAGCAATCCTAGCTCGCCTTTGATTCCCAAAGTCCATATACCCTTACTTCCAGTACTTCGATGGGTAGGAGGTTTCACAGGCCCCAAGAATTTGACCAGGACTGCCTCACCCTGATGGAAGAAGAGGCCCTGCGTTTGCCTGGGCTGCTATAAAGCCGCCACCCCAGCGGACAGGGACCATCTTCACCTCTACCAGTCCTGTATGCCAGCATGCGACATTAACGCAGTAGAGGGGAGGACGTGATTCTTTTAAAAGACATTCAATTGAAGGCAGATAATTAAGGCTTAGCAACAGCATGATATAAAACAAACAAGGGGGGCATCTCACTTAGTTTATTGTGCTCTTCCAGGAGAAAGTTCCACTTCCTGGTCTTGACATCTGCAATGACAAGAAACAAAGAGGAAAATGTGACACCTTGCTCTCGTATAATGTCATTGCACTTAATCACTCCCTGGTTTTATAACCCCCCAAGGAGACTCACGTGATGTGGCTGATCTTGGGTGCCTGGCACTATGGACACAGAAATTGAGAGGCCCTGTCCTCGTGGCTTTCACAGAATTCAGGGAGGAAAGACAGGCAAATGTGGTGACAGCACTGGCTTATAAGAGTGTTGATAAAGGGTGCTAAGGGGACACATCCCTGGGGACGGCCCTGCAGGTCAGGCAGGAATGCCCTGAATTTCCAAGGTCAGGATAATACTTGTAGCTTACACTTATTCAGTGCTTACCTTAAGACAGAGACGGTGCCAAGAGGTTCATACACACCATCTCCTTGGCTCCTCAATAGGCTACAAGCTGGGCACCATTATTAGTTCCATTTTGTACATGGGAAACAAGCTGCATATGTGGCCAGAGTAGTCAAACAGCCTTGGTTCAAATCCCAGATCTGCCACTTCCTGGTGTGTGACCTTGGGCAAGTTATGTAACGTCTCTGTGCCTCAGCTCCCACATCTCAAAAAAAGGAGGATCCTACAGCCCCTGCCTCACAGGGTTCTTGTGGGGATTATGTAAAATTTAAATGTCAAATGCTTATGAAAGGGTATCTGGTAAACAATGCACACTCAAAAAAAAGGGGAGTAATTCTAAATCATGATGATGATAACAAGGATGCCATCTCCTGATTAGCACAGTGGAGCATAACCTACGTACATTAACTAAGAAGAGTGAGCATCTCACTACCCAGTGCTGGCCAATTACTTAGAGAGCTCTTCCGACCAATCAACCCACTGAGAAAAGCAAGCTCCAAATCAGCAAGTGCTTCTTCCCAGGCAGCAGCAGTTAATTCTTCTAGGTATGGTCACTGAGGGAGCAGGTGGTTAGGGAAATGGCACTGTAGACATAGTGAGTCCACTTCAGGAAAAAAGCAAGCTGGCCTAGGTGCAACCTGACAAAGACCAAAGGCAGACAGACTACTCTTTTTTTCCTTTTTTGTTATTTCCCATGATTTTTTCAGGTCATTTTGCTTTTTTTTTTTTTTCATTGAAGTATAATCAGTTTACCATGTGTCAATTTCTACTGTACAGCATAATGTTTCAGTCATACGTATATGTACACTTATTCCTTTTCATATTCTTTGTCATTATAGGTTACTACAAGATATTGAATATAGTTCCCTGAGCTATACAGAAGAAACCTGTTGTTTATCTATTTTATATATAGTAGTTAATATTTTCAAATCTTGAACTCCCAATTTATCCCTTCCCACCATCTTTCACTCCTGGTAACCATAAGTTTGTTCACTATGGCAGACAGACTACTTTTGATATGGGAATAGTGCAGGAGGCCCTTTCTGACAACAGCTTGATCCTAACAATGGCAGGGCAGTAAACAGGAAAGTCTGTGGATAACTGCTATGGATGAAATGAAATGAAATGAAAAATAAAATAAAATGAAATGAAATGAAATAAAAACAGAGCCAATCATGGGTTTTCGATGTCTGCGTCTGGGCAGGGTTGGATGTCAACATTTCAGCTGTTCACATTCAGGTGGGAGGTTTTAAAGGTTTGTTTTCTACTTGCCAAAGGAAACACTAAAACCACTTCAAGAATGGGAATATGAATCCGTAAAAGCCACACTGTTTTCTAGAACAACATGGCCCAAGCTAAGAACGAAACCAAGGAATTCAGAATTCTTCTGTTCCTTATTCTGATAGGGCAGCTTTTGAAGAACCTCACAAAACATACAGCAAAACTGCTCTGCTTTGGCTGGTGGTTTTCAATCCCGACTGATTATAGACCCACCTGAAGATTTTTTTAAAATGCCAGTGCCCAGGCCCCACCTCAAGCCAATTAAATCAGTATCTCCAGGTGGGAACCAGGCTTCAGTGTTTACACTGGGGGTGGGGCTCAGAAATCTGTGTTTTACCCACCCCTCAAGGTGGTTTGGATGCATGCTCAAGTTTGAGAACCATTGGCTTTGTCTACCCAAAGGCATTTAATTCTATGGCAAACATCTATTTTTCAAGCTCTCCTAAGGACAAAATAAAAATAGGTGAGTTTAAGTGGCTGAAGCAGTAACTTACCTGCTTCCACCAAGAAGACACTGACCAGGTGACTGGGGAAGGAGTCTTCTCTTTGCGAGGCCTTTAAGGACAAAAGAGGCCCCACTACGTGTTCGACCACCTGGAACAATTTAGACAGCACCTTTCCATAGAGGAGCAGGCTAAGAAGACTCTATCAAGAAAGTCCTCTCTGAATACTCAAAGAGGGGAAGACACCCTACTCTGAGATCACAGACCACTGTGCATCCTGGGAGCGAGGCAGAAGCCAATTACTTGCCGTAATGTCTGGAATCCATCTGTTGAAACAGTGCAATCAGGCCTTCTGAGTAGCCGATGTCTGCCTCGAAGCGGGCCCGGGAGATGAGCATGCACTGCCCTTTGACAAAGGTGAGGGAGGGAGCTGCAGGAAGGCAGGCCTGGGCCACGCTGCCGCTGCCAGTGGAGGGTGGCTCCCTGCGGCCCTCGGCCCCTTCCAAAGGCTGCAGGGTGACAGCAGGGAGGTGTTGGGCTGCTCTCACTGCCAAAGAAGAAGAAAACAGAGATGACGACCCAGGAGGCTTTCATGCGGCCCTGGATGCTCAGGCAGGCAGAGGAGGAAAGCAGGAGCAGGGGCAGGAGTTACGTCTGGCAGGCAGGTGAGATGGGGACTGCCTGATGGGGAAGGCGTGCATGTGCGCTTTCACTGGGGCTTCGGGAATTTCAGTATTTCCTGAACCTGACTCTTCTATTCCGTAGGTTTCCAAATTTTAAAAATTCAGAATTCAGAAATGAACAGGGGAAAGAGGAACCTCAGCACGATGAGTAAACTTATTAGATAATTTCTGTTGCCGTGTCAGAGAAGCCACCCAGGTGCGTCAGCACACCCGAAACCACCCATTTAACCCTATGCCCAGGTGACTGCTCTGCCTGCCGCTGGGAGGACAAGGAAGGAACGCAGGACCATCAGGCCACAAACACACAGTTTGGAACCTTACTTCCTCTATTACTGACACATTTTAAAGATTAGTAGATTTGATGACATAAAACTAAATTGTCAAAAAACACAGGCTGAAATGAAAGGCAAAACTCCTGAATAAAGATACTTGCAAGAAATATAAACAGAGCTCATACTTTAAAAAAATACAAAGATAAGAAGACAGAGATGTAACCAATTCAAAAGAGGAGGGGAAAGGACTAATAGACATTTGGAGAAATGTGCAACTTCACAAATAATCAGAGTAATAAAAAGCCACGTTTTACTTATCAAACCTGTGGGATTAGGAAAACAGACAACAGCATTGCCAGATGGGAATAAAACCTTCTGGAAAACAGTTTGGCAATAATATATGGCAAGATAAAAAGTGGTCATAATGATTCAACTTCCAGGAATCTATCTCAACTAACAGTTGAAAATACAAAAATTTATAGACCAAAATGTTCCTTACAGCTTTAACACTAGGAAAACTGGGAGCAATTAAAATTAAACAAAAAGAAAATGATTTACCCAATTTCCAACCCATCCTTACAATGGAATGTTATATAGCCATTAATTTCTTTTTTTGGAAGAAATTTTGGAAAAGACAAAAATAACAAAAAACAATATTAAGTTCAACAGTATGAAATCATTTTTTTGGAGGCCAAAGTGGTTCAATAATGGATACATACACTTTTCATTACTCTGAACTGTTTAACATGCACCATTGAAATAAAAATGCTTATGCAGGAACACTCAGTGAAAAAGGCAAGATATAAATTAAATTGCATATATAAAATATTGTATATTTTAACGCACAGGAAAAAAGGCTGGAAGGAACAAAACTAAAATGCTAACGGTGTTTAAGTGAGTGGGGAGAGATGGGGGCTGTTTTTCTTCTTTGCACATTGATATGCTTTCCATATGACCGATGACGAGTGTGTGGTAGGTTAAAGAGGCAAAATTCAGAGGCATACCCAAAGGAGAGTGACAGAAAGACTGACAGAGATAGTCTTTATATTTTATATTAATAAAAAGTATAATCTACTAAGAAGACACAGCAATCATGAACTGCCTGAAAATTAAGAAACAAATGCACAAATCCACAATCGTTGCAAGAGTATTCAAGGTGTATCTTGTTAGAGAGCAGACTGAGTGTGCCAAACACTGATAAGGATACAGAGGAGTTAAACAACTGATCATCAGCAAAATTCATCTGAAAGCTACAGAGAGAATTCTGTGCCCAATAAACAGTTTTCTAAAGAAAAAAACATGTGGAGTGTTACCAAAAACAACCATACCACCCAAGAAAACATGAATGAATTTGCAAAAGCAGAAGTCATCCAAGTCACCATGCACTGTGGTCAGAGAACAGGAGTAAAAAGATGACAAAACAAAACAGATTTTTAAACAGTCTTTGTAGGTTACTTTTGCATACATCTATAAAAGTATAAAAAAAGTGAAAAAGAAAAAAACATTTGACCTGACATGAAAAAGACTTTGTAACAGTGGAAATCACTGGTTTAACACAAGCAACAGTGAGACTACCAGGTGTCAAGACCTGCAGTCTTTTTTTTTTAATATTATTTCTAACTTATTTATTCATTTAATGTTTTTTGGGGGTGAGGGATTAATAAGGTCTATTTATTTATTTCAGTGGAGGTACTGGGGATTGAACCCAGGACCTGGTGCATGCTAAGCACGCGCTCTACCACTGAAGTGATCCCCTCCTGGACAAGAACTGCAGTCTTAATCCCGAGCACGGGTCTTCTCCTCCCAGTACCTAACAAATGGATTAAAGTAATGGTAAAAGTGAGCTCCCCAAAAAGATCACCAGCAGCTTCCAAAGGAAGAGATGCCACTGGATGCCGTGCATTTCAACAGGCAGAGGCCAAGGAGAGACATTCTGCAGGGAGCTGTCCCATCATCCCCGGAAACTGTCCTGGTGACTCCAGAGAATTCTACCTTGTGCCCCCAAATGGTAAGGGAGTGACTTCACCATGCACCCTCTGCTTTCGGCTTTTTGAACGGGGTGGGGACAGAGAGGGAACAGGAGTGGCTGCCGGGATTGACAAGCAGAACGGGAGATGAGAACACCCACGGCTGACTCTGACTGAGGTGCAGGCTCCAGGCCCCGGGAGAAGGTGACAAAAACCTTGGTGGAAGACAGTCAACAAAACCTCAGAAGGCAGTGTGGTGCACCCAAGGGGCCCGACCAACACCAGACATGCACTGGCTGGAGCCAGTCTGGGCAACGCTCCCTCCCCGCACTCTCGGGTTAACTAGCCGCAGAGAGAGTATGGTGAGGATCTGCACTGTTTGCTGAACTGTTACCCTTCCTGGGAGCAGGGCGTTCACAGCTGCCTGACATGGCTGGAACCTGCAGTCCAACAGGAATATGCACTCTCAAGTCAGATAGCCTGGGTTTGAATCCCAGTTGCACAACCTATTGGCTATGAGATCCTCTCTGGGCCTCAGTTTTCCCATCTCTAAAATGGCTGTTATACGGAATAAAAGAGTTAGCATATATAAGGGGCTTATAACAACCTGGCATGTAGCAGGCTCCCTTAAGTGCTACCTTTTGTTAATATGACCAGTGACTTCCTCCCAAGGACCTGCCTTACTAGGCTGGCCATGGTGAGAAGGAGGATGGGCCTTGGCACCCATAAAGTCATATGAACAACCAGCTAGACTACATCTCCTCCTCCAGAGGAACTTTTCAAAACCAGCATCTTCCTGCACGAGGGGCAATGACACAGCTACTTACTTAGGGCATCGTAGTCCGTCATGCTGAAGTTCCACGTCTTGGTGGCAGGATCTGAAATGAAACAGAAGTACCTGGTTTGCCCACAATGAGGCTGATGGCTGTTGTTATAAGTTGTACTTGGATATTTAACAAAGGTTTATTGAATGAATGAATGAATGAATGAATGCTAAGTTCAAAACAGTTGACTGAAAAGCCCCTATTGCCGTACAAAATCCCTGCAGAGAACAAACAGCAAATATAAATGAGGATAATGCTTCTGCTCTGTCCTTGTGGATGAACCAAACTGAGTACGTCACTTCGTCTTGCTGAGCCAGTTCCATCGCCTTTGAAATGTAAATAACACCTACTTATGGCAAAGAACTGTTGTTAGGCTTCAGTGCTACAAGGCATAGAAAGCACCTGGCAGGGGCATCTGCCTCTGAGTAAATATCCATCTACGCTCTGTATGGCCATGCAGCAGCCCCTGGGTGGGGCAACGGTTTGAAGGCATGTCTGTTACAAAAGGAAACATGAGCTAAAATAGAAAATTTTTAACAACTGGATAGACAGAATGTACCAATGCACTCTCTTCATGTTTATGAGAAACCGTCAGAGTTAAAGAGATTCTAGAAATATGACAAAACATCCGAACAAGAACTAGATGGAAGACTTATTACCGTAACGTCTGCTGGGCAGACTCTTAAACACTGCAATGAGCTCCACATTGTACCCGATCTTCACCTGGAAACGGTCTCCATCCCTTATGCATGTTCCCTGCTGGGAGCTTGCCGCTTTCTGGAGTGGGGTCCCCGATTTCTGTTGGAGTCTTCCTTCTGTCTTAGGCGTCACACTCCCTGAGCCACAACGGATGTCAGAAATGTTCTGTCCGGAGGTGGAGGGTCTTGACATCTTGGCCTCTAATTCAGGATCTCTGGGTCGGGAGGAAGAAGCTGCTGTTTCCTGGGAATTCTTTGCTTTGGCCAAAGGCTCATGAGCTGTGTTAGCAAAAGGTGTCAATGTGGTCTCGTGTGAAGCCTGAGGATGACCATAACCTAACTCATAACCCAAGAGCTGTTGGCTGGTGACCTCTGGAGGGCTGTGTGCCAAGGGAGGGGAGATGCCAGTGACAGTCATTTGGCTCGGTGGGCTGTGGCTTGGGCAGGATGTGGGCATCTTCTCTTGCCTTTTCCATGTCCCCTGTGCCCACGTTGAGGTGCTGAGTTGAAAACTCTGGGAATTTGGGGGTCTCTGGTCACCATTTGATGAACTCCTGGGATTCTGTTGCTTGAAAACAACACCATGGCTCCCTGAGTTAGAAGGATCCCTGGGGAGGTTTTGAGAAGGGCCCTGCTTGGACTGGGAAGGTGTGGCAGCAACGGCGAAGCCAGAGCCTGCGTTCTGACGCTGTTCTGCCAATAATTTCTCAGCTCTACGGGCCAGAGCCTTTTGCCGATTCTCTTCAATTTTTTTCCTCTGCTCCTCTGTAAGAGGCAAGGACATTTTAACAGGAAAACGCTCATGCAGGAATGTCAGTCTTTAATCAGAAACTTGGCAAAAGCTGAGGAAGGAAAAACAATATTGAAATAAACATTAAATGTATTTATTTGCTTACTTTGATTTTAACAAGCTTTTGTGCCAGGAAATGCACAAGAAGCATAATCAGAGAATAAATTAAGGTTTCTTTTATAATTAAACACTCACACACACACAGGGACAGTAGGTACCATATGCCAAAAACCATGACCTTGACAAAAAGAGCAAAAAGCAAGGTCGATCAAATCCAAAGCTGAAAAGGTTATTTCAACTGCAGTATTTCTCTCTCTCTCGTGCACCAACCAATACAAGTTATCAGATCTCAAGAAAGTTATGCAGTGCAAATTAAATCCATCAGATAACGAGAAGGGTGACATTTCAAACTAGAAAGGATAATGGATTAGACTGACATAGACCAAAATAACCAAATACCATGGAGTGACCCTTGCTAAAATAGCCTCTTTCCAACCTGGAAGAAGGAAAAAAGCATTCGCATCACACACACTGCACACTAAATTCACCTGCCTCCCTGCCCCCCAAAATCAATCCTCTTATCATTCCTGGCAAATCAATCTGCAGATGGTCAGGTGCAAACCTTAGCATGCTTTCCAAATCTACCACCATGGAGCAATCAAGTGACTCTTGAGAAAAATAAGGGGAAAAAATATATATTCTCATTGTACAAATTCAGATGCTACATAAAGAAAAGAGTAAAACTAATCTGTAATCTCATCATCCACCAATAACCACTGTTCATAATTTAAAGAATAATTCTGATTTTTTTCCTATCTATATCCATAGGTATATGTCATGTATTTGGAAGATAGATGAATTTATTACAAAATAGGATCATTAGTGTTCTGTTTTGTATCCACCCCCCTCCCTTTTTTTCTTGCCAATTAATTTACCTAAGTCATTTTTTCTATGAGCTGAGTCACTTTTACAGTACCCTAAACCCAGGGCGCTGGAAACAAATTTCTCTGGCTTGGTTCAGAATAAATAGCTTCCATTCAACGTAATACCATGTGATGCTTACAATGATAACATGGGGACCCCGAGGAGTCAAAGGTTTCCATCCTTGACAAGAACTTCCTTGACAAGAACCCCAAACATCTATCTCCAGAGACCTCCCACTTCCTCCAACCACCAGCAGTTAAGAAAGGGTTAGGGAACGGTTTTGTTCCCGGGGCACGGCTGAAGCTCTCAGGCTCCCTGAGTAAAACACTCTTGCCTAACTTTCCAACCAGGGCTCTCCTGAGCCCCCAAAACTTCCAGGTCCAAGTCCTGGTGTGCTGCCTCCACTAGCCAGGGGAGTCAAGGCCATAGAACGAAGTCCCATTGATCAGCCCCAAACTTATGGTCCCGCCACACGGACGCCCCTCTTCTTTTCTCTGGGACCTGTGTTCCACGCTATTTGGGGGTGCGCCTCCCCCCGACCCCGCAGTACGGGAGCGCCACGTCCCACTCCCACCCCTATCACCTCCACTTGGATTCACCCTTCCCGTTGGCCTACTCCCTGCCCCAGGCTAGCATTTGGTCTCGTCCGCCTCCACCGCCTTCCTCCCAGTTTATCTTCTCACCTAGAGAGAGGCCTGGAAAGCGAGCCACGTTCGCGGCCGACCCCGAGCCGAGGCGCGTCTCCAGAGCCCTCCCGAACCAGATTACTCCTCCGGGTGGCCAGTTAGGAGCCGGTATTTTAACGCTGCCAGTTCGCCCGCCTTATTTCAGGCGCAGGGCCTGGAGGTAGTGTTGGTGGCGGAGTTGTTCACCGTGGAACTACATTTCCCAGCGGGCAACGCGGCCCCAGCTACGCTTCAAAAAGTTAGCGTTATGAGACCGGAGCGGCGCTGCAAGGTCTTCTGGGATTTGTAGTTTGAACCCGGAGCCTGGTGAGAATTAGGAGAGACGCAACGTCATGAGAGGGGCTAGAATGGTGCACCCTGGGAAGTATAGTCCTCGGTGCCCTCAAAGGTTTCATGAAACCTTTCGAGTTCTGGGTCCTGAAAGCCTGGGTCCTTCAGGTTTCCTAAATTAGAGTCTCGCTGACAGAGCTCTCAGAAGGCTGTCAGAGCTGTCTCCAAAGGGCTTCCCAGACGGGCAAACAGATTTGGTAGCTCTTAATAAAAGAAGCCCCAGAGGCGTCCATTATTGAATTGATAACCTTGCAGTTTAAGCCCCACTTGCTGTTCAACTCCAGCCTGACCTTCCTGGATCAAAAGAGAGTTAGCATTGTCGTCATTGTCTTCGTCATCATCATTGTGCTGAGCATTTAGTGTGAATTACCTCATTTAATCCTCACTACAGCCTTACAGCACACACAGTATTTCTATCCTCCTTTTACACATCGGAAAACTGACTAGCTTTTTCAAAGCCTTGGGAGGCTATTTGTGATTCTGATTCTGGAGTGCAGGCTTCTGAGAGAAAATTAGTAAATTGACACTATCAGAGTCAGTCTACCCCATTTCTGAGCACTAGACCCATTTCCATTCCATAATCAACTCCACTATTAAATATTGGCAGTAAATATAAATTTTCCCCTATCATCAGTGTACACGTAAATGTTGATATTCTGTTTTCAAACATGGCTCATTTAAAAACAAAAAGGTAGAGCTCTACTTAAGGATTTGGAAAAACGGCCAAGACGTGTTGTTAAGAAAAACAAAGCAATGTGTATAGTTTGACCCATTTAAATTAAAAAAAAAAAAACCTTACTTACCAATGCATGTAAACTCATAGTTCAAGACCAAGGTGGGATGGGATACACTCTTCTACTTTTTAATCTATATTTTTCTGAATTATTTGAATTTACTTAAAATAATCGTGTAGAACTGTGTGACTTTTAAAACAGTAAATCCAGCTTTTTAAATGACAAAGACATTGGCCTGTCTTACAGTCCTTGAGTAAAGTTCACCAGAACAGTTGGGAGAGGCATGTTGCTATTGTTTGAAGCGCACCTTCTTAGGTCTTTCATTACTCTACACCCCAGCAGCCATTCCCTGCTATATAGTGTGAACAGAAACTAATGAACATCTTGCCCTGCCCTTCCTGTGCCCCAACAGAGTCAGTTAATTTGCTAAGAAAGCTGGTTGCTGGGCATTTCATCCACGACTGTCACCAGTTCATGTGACAGTCACTTCCCTTGGCTGTGCTCAGTTGGCTCACTTGTAAAATGGCATATTGCCCTTTGATGTGAGCTAAGAGGGCATGTGGACCAATGCAGCTTGGATTCTAGTGTTCCTAAAGCCCAATTCAGCAGGTCTGGAAATGAACTAAAAAATATGCTTATCTTTCCAGCTCAGACAGTCTAAAATCCTAAGAATGGGAAATCAGAATAAGAATTCAGTTTTTAAAAACTGTCTTCAGAAGGTAAACTAATCAAAATACCACTCAGTGTTCACATCTGTTCTTTCAGCACCATTTATTGAGTGCTATTATATGCAAGGCTTTTTCTTTTTCTTAATGTCTATACTTCCAAAGTTCTTGAGGCAACTTATAGTGAAAATTCATTCACTGAAAAGGTTTAAAGGTCTGGAAGAAAGCGCAGGAACCAAGGAATGGAGGGAAAGGAGAGGATATTTGTAGCAGCTGAGCTCCAAATTAACACAGAGCCTCCTTGCAACTAAAGCAAAAAAATGGAAAAATCATGCAAGGCCTTCAAATAAACACTGCATAGCTGAGGCTCCCAAACATAGGACAGCTGGGCAATGCCAGACTGGTTTGAAGCAGCACCTGGTTGCCTTAGAAACACACAAACAAAATGACAATGTGATGAGTATTTTATAACGGTATTTTTTAAATGATTTATATAATGATATAAAATTACATAAGATGGCTTGAGAATTTATCTCATAGTTTTTCATGTTTAACTCATTTTCTTTAGTAAAGTGAGGATGGTCATAAATGCCTTTATTTACCAAAATTAGAAGTAGTTTTCCTTTCAAAAGTATCCAATAATAATTAGTCTGTGAAATCCAAAAATCTGCAGACACAATTTTAAGGGATTCTAGAGATGAGTAAGATCCAGTTCCCAATCCTCCAAAAGATTACCATATTTGAAGGACAGAAGACAGATAGCTAAAATCATCAGATTTAGCAAATGTCCCACATATTTGTCTACAATATTGCATGGGACATATATTAAAAAGCATTATTTATCTGAAGTTTAAATTAAACTGGGGGGCCTATATTTTATCTGACAACCACAAAATCAGTCCACTCCTATTATATCAGTGAGCAACAAACAAACATTCATTGATAGATAGATGATTCACAGGTATACTGAAACACCGAATTTTCATGGGATAGGGTGAGCTATGTGTCCTTCTACTCCGCCATTTTGGCACCAACCCCCCAATACATCAAATTTTAAATCAAGAAGGGACTACCTGGTTTTATAGGTGAGGAAATAGAGGCCAGATCAGCTGCTAGTCCACACAGCACCATTGTGTATTACAAAAAACACACCCAGAGAAATTAGCTGTGCCTGACATCACAGACCCGGCAGAGGCTGGGCTGGAATAGGGAACCTCAATCCCACTGCAGGCTCTTTGTGACACTAATTAAACATACACGAAGTTGTTGCAGGCTTGCTCTTGCCTGACAGTATGTCTGGGTACCTACCACAGTCCTCTCCCTGGAGCTTACATGCTAGTGATGCAGGCACTGGGCTTCCCTCTTCCCTCAGTTTCTGGTCCCCTAGGGAGGGCTTGACAGACCTTTGGGAAGGGAGTTTTTGACAGCCACCTCAAGGGCATGTCATCACTCAAGTTAATTACACCTAGAGCACTGTGATAAGATTCGAGAGCGGATGCAAGATTTTGGGTGTGTAAGGAGGCTATTCCCTCCTCAGGCACTGCCAGGTGGTAAAGGTATTTGCATATCCAAAGCGCAGAGGAGCCATGTGAAGGTTTATAAGCCAAGAAATTCACCTTCCCTAGTGGTTGTTCCGTTCTGATGGACTTAATTGCTTGAGTCTGACAGTTCAGTTTTTCTCCCTTCTTTCATCTGCACCTCCTTAACCCCACTAAAGCTCTAAATGTATTATAAAGACAAAAACTCCAGTATTATTTCTACACCATGCATTCTATAGTTTAGTGTGAGGGTTTTCCAAGAGTCTTAATTTCTAGAACTGTTTGGTCTTGGTAGCTGTGATTAATTACAAGCCTCTCCCTCAAATCTGGCACATTTTCTGCTGGGATGGCTTTGCCAAAAGCATCCCCCTTGACCCCCTATTCCGGTTTTCTTAGACCGGTGAAATGTCACTTTTCCTGTCCCTTCAAAATCACAAATTCCACTTTATTCATCCATTCATTTATATATTCATTTAGTAACAATTCAAGGACCTGCTATGGGCCATACACTGTGCAAAGGCCCTGTGGTTGCAATAGTCAGTTAAAACCCCAAAGATATCATCCTTTCTTCTTAAAGCCTACAGTTTGGTTGGGGAAGCAGACATGCACAGATACACAAAAGGAAACAAACTAAAGGATAAGTGCTTGAAGGACCTAAACGGAGGGTCCAAGGAGAGACTAAAGAAGGAATGATTTCGTGGTGGTCAGGAAAGGCCTCCCCAAGGGGAGGCACTGAAGCTGAGATCAGAAAAAGGAGAGGAGGCAGCAATGCACATGGCGGAGGGAGGAGGCTTCTGAGCCAGAGGCATCCAGGCAAGAGAGAGCTGGGCATGTTTGAGGATCTGAAAGAAGGCAAGTGTGGCTGCAGGACAGTGGGAGGGAAGGAGAGGGGCACACGGTGGGGCTGGAGAGACCAGTAGGATTGATAATTTCAGGGTCCTGCTGGCCATGGAAAGACGTTTGGATTTTGTCCTGGGAGCAGTGGGGCACCACTGGTAGGATTCAGCCTGAAATAGTATGATATGATATGTGTCTTAAAAAGATTGCTCTTGCTGCTGAATGGAGACTTCCCTGGAGGAGGACAGGAGTGCCAAGAGGAAAGCCTTTGAGGAAGCCATGGCAGGAGTCCAGACAAAAGAGGATGGTGTCCTGGATGGATGGGTCACATTGGAAAGCTGCTTGGAGGGAGACTCCAGCACCATAACTCCTTCTCAGGGAGTGTCTGTGTCTGAGCCCAGCACACACACAGTCAGAGCCCCATCGCTCACTTCCCACTGGCGGCAATGGACGTGAAGTTGCTTAGAAAATTGGTCTAGTAAATGGATCTTTCTTATAGACTGCTGTTTTTTTCTTTGTACTAGGCAACTTCTTTACAGAAATATGAATTGGAAAATTATGTTCTTTCATGATTATTAAAGGAAAATTGGGAGCAAAGAGGAGATCGGAAGCTTGTTCAAGGATATAGATGACATTGGAGCCCAAACTTGATCTCAGTTGTCCTACTTCCTGCCCCTCGCCCAGTACACTGTTCTGTAGGTGCTACAACAAGGGAAGAGCCATCAGACTTTGGCTAATATTCTACTCTTGATATAGAGTAGATTATCCATCCCAAACTGCCCAAGTAGCAGCACCCCATTTGTGTTTCAGCCATGAAAATTTAACACTGGTTAGAAGTCGTTGGCTTGGTGCAATATCTCTGAAGGCCACCAGGGGGCAAATAATAATCCATGATCACAGCCCACGTTACTGTTTCCCGTCCCTCTGTCTGGGCTTCCGTTTATCCGTCGGTTCTCTGTGTTTATGCTTTTTCTCTTCTTATTTCCTTCTTTTTCATCTTATGTTACATTTATTCTCTTTTTACTTTCCCCTCTTCTTCTCTAACTCCATATCCAGCCTGCCCACATCATAGAACTAAAGCTTATTTTT